TATTCTTGGGCCCGAAAAGTAAGTCTTAGCGAGTGTAAACTTCTAGAATCAATAATATTACTCGAGAATTAAAATTATTTAATCATTGCTTTTCACTTATCTCCACAGAAAACTTATACTGACACAGAAGCGTTACGGAAGCAAAAGAAGGGAAACGTCCAAGAAAGGTTTGTGATGAAAATTATTTTCTGTAAAAAAAAAAAAGTACATTTAAAGTGGGTTTTTTTTATGGTAAGCACACTGAGAAATAATGAGCTGGGAATGCAAAGTGGGTTTCGGGCATATATATTAAAAATTATTCTACGTTATTGCGGTACATCTGCTTGCATAACAAGAAAAAACCTGTACGTCCTTAATGACACTATCATGACACTATGCAAGGCCACTTCATTTCGCGGTCGTGAAGGTTTACTTTGAACAATTAATCAGCGAGCACGTGTTGGATAAGAGTTGGTTGGGAATAACTTTTATATCACATCCAACACGCGCGGGTGCGATAATTGTGTTTTCCAAGAGAAGAAAGTGAAACATTAAAATTTTTCCTGATTTCCTTAGAACAGCAAACAGGAGATGATTTGATGGTTGTTTTTTTCATGGGGATGCGACTAAAATGCCGTCATGACGCGCCAATCCAGTCAAAACTACAGCATCTCATTAAGCAAATGTTCAAACAGAACTTTTTCATGGAACTACACGGTGGATTTTTTGAATTAATAGAGCGCGTCGTAGGCAGAACTATAGTGAGAAGTTCCGCTTTCAGGGTCTCTTGCAGTGCGTGACTTTTTCGTAAGGCGATTAACTGACCTGCCTTTAACCGTTTCCTCAGACAAGCGTTGAAAACAAAGATTATTATATCCAAAATCGCGGCCACGCCCGATGGAAAGTTATGACGAGTTCTTTTCGCGGTTTATCTTATTGCTTTTTTGAAAAATTAAATAATTTTCTTCTGTCAAACTTTTAACAGGATATTACGCTCGCGTGATTTCCACAATAGAAAAAATAAATAACTAAAAATAGCAAATAATAAAAATTATATAAAATAAAGGTAACCCGCCGACTTTTCCGCTTTCTATACTTAAACAAAAAAAGCAACAATTTAGCAAAAGACGTACATTTTCGATCACAAGGTACAGGTTTATTACCTATAAAAATCCGGCGTGAATTCAAGTTACAACTATGCCATGAATGACACGAATGTTTTCTCTTGGTGTGCTTTCGGAAGCGGGGCGTTATTTCTGCCCACTGTCCGGTCATATAAAATTTCGGTCATACCTTACTCAAACGCCGTAAACATGTTTGTTTGGTATTGACGCGCGCCTAAACATAACGTTTCAAAATCTTCCACTTCCTTGAAAACATTTCCAAGCAAATTTCGCCGCATCATATTTCTTGTCGAAAAAGTCATTTAAGGTAAGGACAGCCCTTCATTTTCTCGTGGGTCAAACGTAAAAACCACAAAAATTTCACATACTTGTGTTGCTGTGTAAGATTTCTGATATTTTGCAAAAGTATATTTAGTTTTTGTTAGGCTACTGCGCAAAAGGGCGGGAAATCTCGCTTGATGCAAGGGCACAAATTAATTTCGTGATCATAATGACATCCCCCTTCGTTCGTACGAAATTTTAATTGACATAACTCGATCCTTGAATGTCGTTCGACTGTATACGGCGGTAATCGAACCTACACTGTAGTCAAACTATCAAAAACTGTGGTGTTAGCTAACCTAGATTTCTTAAACGAAAACATAGGTTGAGAAATTAGACGGTTGTTTATTAACAATTTCATTCACTGATCTTTTTGACATAATATTTTCACCAGGTACTCGATCACGTTTGGCTAAAGCAATTTTAAAGAAATATTTTTATCTTTAACGTGTTGCCGGTGCGGAAGTGCCGAATTATTCTCCATGGTCAGTTTTTGAAAGCCTATATCTTTTGGCAAGCTTCTAATATTTAACGCTGATGCATCAAATGAACTGAGCAATGCCGTTCAAAAAGGGGTAGTTTTAAAAGAAACAAGGGAACTGTGTTGTTGGGGGATGAGACTCAACAAATTTCTATTAAAATAAGCTTAGTTCATCGCCGTAAAGACATCAAAAGCTGACTTTGTGTACGTTTGCCCTTCATCAGAGCGAACTCCACCGCGAATCTCTCTCGCGAAGGTTTCGAATTCGAAACGTCAACTTTTCAATCCTTTTACAGTGGTAGATTGGCTTCAAAACATAACTATAACTAGTCTATTTAAGTCTGCTGCTACTTACTGCTAGTTTTCTTACACAGTCGTCAGTTATCTAATGAAAGTTGTGTTCTTACTCGTTTCTTTTTCAACCTTAAAGTTATTACTTAGTTTTGCATTGAGCACACTTAGTACGCAAAATTTCACGCGTGATTGGCGCACGGACATGAAAACATGGCGGCTTTTGCCTTAAGACTGGAGTTACAAAAGAGGTAATTTTAAAACGAGCGTGGTGACCTATCAGGTTTTTTTTTTCTTTCTCTTTTTTTTAAAGAGCAGTAACTTTTTTTCTCTAGAATAAATATAGAGTGATTGACGGTGCAGAAAAAGAAACAATCGTCGGAAACGTTCTCAAAGCATGCGCACACAAATATAATCATTTTGGTATTTTAAGGAAACATTTGATATAAAAAATATTGCTCCTGTTCCTAAACGAGTACAGATCCCCCCTCCGCCCACCCCGATTCAGTTATATAAGCGTTAACAACATAAACACTAAATCGGTTAAGATTAACAAAAATCGCACTGCAGGTTCTATTTCAAACGAATACCGTATTTATTCGAATAAGCGCCAAACCTCGAATTAGCACCCACCTCGAATAAGCACCCATCCTAAAAGCAGAAAAAGTTAATAAGCGTCCAGCCTCGAATAAGCACGCACTGCGCGCTGGGCGATTTAGATTTCATCAAGGCTGGTCCATTTTATATGGCGAGCGAAGCAAGCCGCGAGAGGACACGCTAGCGAGCGGCGAAGCCCTCTTTTCGCTTGCTATTCACGCGACTCCCCCAACTGAAGACCTTGCTCGCAGGCTATTTAATGGGGAATGGGCTCTGAGTCAATAGCTCATGAGGCCGAAGGCTGAATGGGCTATTGACTCGGAAGACATGAGGGCGAGAGGAATAATTGTTGTAGTAAAATCCAACTATTTGGTAAAAATATCGACACAAAACAACTTTAGCTAGCAAAACGCGATTCAGCCGCCACTGTTTTGGTTTTCAAAGCCGGCACTTTTCACTACTAGTGGGCTATAACATATAGCCTAGTAGTAGCTTAACCAATCAGAACACAGCATTGGAAATAGACCACTAGCTGGATTTTACTAAAAAGAAATACAGTCGAGTCTCCACGTGCGACCACCTGTCCTAAAAGACCACCTCCCATAAACGACCGCCAATCCAAAACACCAAAATATGCCCAGTCAAAGCCTAACAGTTGGAACCTCTAGAAAAGGACCACCTCCTGTAAGCGACCACCAGTCTTTGCATTTTGGGTGGTCGCTTACGGGAGTCGACTGTGTGACGAAATTTAAGCATTACCTTAGGCTATTAGTATACAACTGACACCATAAATCTAAAGTTTAAAAGAGTTGCCGGCACCGAACTTTTCATGAAGACCGCACACCGTAAACGTTCAAACCCTGCGCAAGGGTTCCGAAATGGAGGGTTACCCCCTCCGCCCCCTTCAACCCCGGTCCTCAAGGGGGCCAACACACGCAGTAACAACGTTATCCGTTGATTGTGGGGGCTTGAACAAACAAGAACATCATTTGCCAATAAATCACAAGTGCAACTATTTTTTCTTATCTTTCAGATGTCACAAAAAATAGCTTTTTTAACAATTGTGCTGTTGGTGATTTGCACGCTTCTTCTTCCTGTCGCTACCTACAGAATGCCTTGGAAAAGACAAGCCCAGACTGTGGGTCAATGTGAGGGGTGCTGCGATACTTGTTTTCACTACTGCAGTACGAGTGATACAACTTCAGGAGCAAATTTTTTCGACAAATGCTTTTATACCCTTAACACCTGCAAGGACGCATGCGCAACAAATTCAGACCATTGTAGCACAGAATGTCTTGATTTCAATTAGTTTAAACGACCTTAAATGCGCGCATTTGAAAAGTAGTGATTGTAATATAACAGACAAATATTAGGTAGGTTCAACAAAACACTGATAGTATTTAATAAGCGAAGGCTTTATTTATATACCAAGTTCTGTACAAAGAAACATTCCTGGAATAAAGTATAAGAGAGGCTTAAAAAAAACCCTTAATTTCTGCCGATCGAGTCCTTATTACATGGAGGGAGGAAGATCCTGGCACCAGGAAGATCCTAAAAGGAGGATCATCCTAGCGCCACATATTTTCAGTATTCAGTTTACATGCAAAGGGTTGTACTTGTCCCTAGCGCTAGGATCTTCCTAGCTGAGAGGTAGGAAGATCCTAGCACCATATAAACTGCTTTCGCTAGGAAGATCCTAATACTAGGTACAAACCAAACAAACATAGAAGCGGCAATAAAGGCCAGCCATTTTTGGGGGCTATAATTAAGTTGTAAAGAACTGCCAGTTGCTACTGAAAGGTAGTTATTTCCGCAAGTAAAGAGAACAGAAGGGTACAAATTGCATGTTCGTTATTGTCGCCCACCATCTTTAATACCCCCTCTACTTGGTAACCATTTGACGCCGACCGAAATTTGTGCATGTGAACCCAACGAAAAGCTGTTCCGCCTTCTAAGATCTTGCTGGAAGAAGAACCAAAGTCTAACCGGAATTGGCTCGGAGGGGAGTATGAAGGGATGTGCAAAAGATTCACTGTCTGATCACTCTACATGAAAATTACAGGCTCTTGCATTTTTACGACAGTAAAGACAGAAAGTAGTTATTTGTGCAAGATATATCATTTTTACCTAGCCTGCAGTGCAGGCGTTTTCTCACGCTTCGGGCGTGCGAATGGTTTTGCTTGCGAAAGCGCAATGTTGCGTTTTCTCTCCCCAATCTTCCTCTGTCATAAAATCAAAGATGGCGGCTACAACAATACAAACATGAACAAGCTTTCGCCCACCCAAAATACGCCTGCACTGCAGGCTAATTTTCACCCCACTATTCTAACCATATGCAACATTGGAATAACGCACTCGAAAGCGGCCACACAGCGAAGATGATTAAGCTCATCCTCATTATCAAAACCTTTATCTTTTACGAGCAACGTAATAAAAAAATCAAAGAAGTCAACAAAACAGAGCCAAGGGAAATAATACAGGTGTGAAACAAAAAAAAATTCGCAGGTTTTTACAATGAGGTAAACCCCGTTTTGGCAGCTTTAGACTCTTTTCAGTTTTATTTCTTTTTTCCATTAAAAGATACTTCGAAGAGTCGCTGCAAACTTCGAATGGCTCCGTTCTAAGTACAGTCTAACCTCTCCTTACGGACACCTCTATAATACGGACACCTCTCTATTACGGACAGTTCGTTTGGTCCCAGAAATGCCAAAAATCATATATTCCCTACCTCTATAATACGGACACTTGGTTCTGTCCCTTTGGTGTCCATATTAAACAGGTTTTATTGTATACTCTTCAAGCGCTGTAGCTGTACCAAGAACCTGGGAATACAAGGCCCGGGTTGGGGCTAGGGTTACGCCCAACGAAACGTCATTGTACTAGTTTATCATTTGACGCTCTACAATCGTGTATTTCTCGGTTGGGTTTACCTCTCTCCAAGTAGTCCAGGATGGTTTATGCTAGACTCCAAAACAGTCGGTTTTTTTCCCTCAAAATCAGTTTTTCAAGGCGCCTACGCGAGATTTTGGGCGAAGCACGCGCGTTATAGTCCTTAAGTGAAAAACACTACACAGGATGTTAAAAGGTCAAACGGCACAGAGAGGAGTACATTTAAATGCTACATATCCCTGGCATAAAGCTTACTGCAAAAAACGTAGATTAACTATTATCGTCATTATTACAAAATACTTAAATAAATCAATGTAGCTAAGGCTTAATGCATTAACTTAGCTTGGAAGGACCTAACTGATTCTGCACAGACAGCATCACTAGGCTGACTGTTTCAGAGAGGAATAACCCTTGGGAAAAAAGAATGCTTATATGCATTTGAATTTGCAAACATATGCATAAACTTACAAGGATAAACTAAAACGTCTTCGCATCTCTCTCCAGTCTCATACTTTGTTTTCAACCTCGTTCCAGAACTTTCGTTTGACCGCTCCCGTTTCTTGACCTACGCAAAAATACGGGCTGTTTGGCAGTCTACGTTGAGGCAGGCACAACTTCAGCAAACTGCAAGTTGGCACGACCATCAAGTCTACGTGTCACCAACTGTGGCAGTTTCCCCTTAGTTACAGATTTCTAGTATTTCCTCCCTTGCGCTCTTTAACAGACCAAAACATTTAGCTGATAACTTCTTCTTGGGGAACACCATTTAATGACTTGAGCACCGAGGATGAAGGTGTGGCGAGGTGGTTTCACATATCGCCAAACACGAGATAGCATAATCCTAGTTTTTACTCCACGCCGACTAACAGATTAAGTAGCCTAGAGGTTGACTCTGATACAAATACTTTATCATGACTATAAAGAGAATTACTCTGTTACCCTCCTCATCTATGACCAACAGCGCTTCAAAAAGTCTATTAAGCTGAAAGTTAGCAATGTTGAAGAGAGAAATACATCTCCGGTCAGAGAGAATAAGAACAGACTCTCACAAAAAAACACCGTCGAATCTCTCCTTACAGCCTGAGCCTCTCCATTGCAGACAGTTCCCTTGGTCCCAGAGGTATCAATCTTCCTACAATTCCCTTCGCCTCTAATACCAACACCTCTGCGGGCCCTTGCAGGGGCGGATCCAGGATTTTTTTAGGAGGGGGTGCACTCGTCTCTTGCTCTACTTCAACACCAATAAACCACATAGTTTTTTTTTTTTGCAGAATACCAGTTGTATTAGAAAACCGCAGGTCATCTCGGGGGGAGGGGGTGCGCACCCCCTGCACCCTCCCCCTAGATCCGCCCCCGACTTGGCTCTATCGCTTTGGTGTCTGTATCACGGAGGTTTCACCGCAGTAGATGTGGATGTTAGAGATCAGCAAAAAAATCATTTGTGGCTGTCTCTGAAGCAGCTGCGCTCGTCCTTTTACTGCCGGGATCCACGGAAACATTCTTAACATGACTCACGTCCCAAAATTTGATGCTTTGATCATGCGAACAACTGGCCAGCGTGTTACCATCTCTTGACAGGCGCATTCTCTCCACGGGAAAGTCATCGTGTTCACCGATGGTGCCAACGAAACGGTTCGGTAAAATATGCACCGCTCTGAGAGATTTAAAAGTTTAAGGGAAAAATGTAAACTCCTTTTTTGTTCTACTAAAAAAAACGCTCAATTGCTTGTAATGGAAGCTTACCCAATGACAAAGCGACGGCAAAACAAAAACACAAACAAAAAAAACTCTATACGTGGATCACACTTGTTGATCATCATCATCATCATCATTATTATTATTATTATTATTATTATTTTATTTTTCTCACGTACATTCCACAGCCAACGTGATTTTACCATTTGTTATAGATCTTGACAGGAGTTTTAGCCGAGGTTCATGCCCGCAACCTCTCGCCCGGCAGTCTAGCTCTCTATCAACAGAGTTAGAAGGGCGGTGATCACATAAGTCACAGAAATCTCAGCGTTTAACGCTGGTGCCCAATTTGTGCCGGAGAGGGAGAAGGCGTAACAAGGGCATCGTCATGAGTTGTTTGAACGACTAGGGAAAATGAAAAAACATGGCCTGATAGAGACCTGATTCACAAAAACGGCAACAAAGCATTCAACGGAACTTGAAGGAAACACCAGGCGGACCACAACAAACTGAGTACTCAATCATAAGGCGCTTATGCAAAATGGCGCATTGAAGTGTAACAATGAGCCTTTCGGTTTAGACAAACATTTCCAAAATTTTCCGTTGGTCCGACCAGAATGTTTGGGATCGCCTCAAAAGGCGGTCCTCTTTGATTGGGTTGACTGTTTTGGGAAACAAAAAAGGACTCTTCTACTTGCTTAAACACAAGAACAAATCCGGGCGTGACATTTGGTTTGTGACGTAATCACGTCTTTGCAAGATTCCGACAATGTGGTAATGAGGATTTAGAGTTATTCATCGGATTCACTTCCCTTAGTTGGCTTTAAGCGATACTTACATGTACAACTAGTAAATAGGAACTCCATTGAACGGAAAAACTTGATCATTTTTCTCATTTACAAGACCAAGTTTCACTTGTCGAGGAGACCAAGAGAGAGGAAGTTCGCGTAAACGCCGCATTAGTTAAGGTCTCGTTTGAGGCCGAAGGCCGGACGTTTCGTCTGGTCGATTGCGACGTCATTATCCAATCGGAGAGTTTGATGTCATATATTTGCAGATTTATTTCTTTTTCAGTTTTGGTACTGTTTCTCCAGTCTCAGGAAAACTGGAAACAGCATTTCTGAGAGTTTCACTTCAAACAAAACATATTCTGGAGGGAGCATATCCCCAGTCTTCCCTAAGGGCTCACCGCTCCGGTGCTCGTAACCCTGCTTACGGCGGAAAAAAGTGACCATGTCCGGTACTTTCACGAACGAGATCGGTACTTTTGAAAAGTGTCGAAAACCGTGGACCTTCGCAACAACCATGGAGGTCGAAAGTGTTGGGACCTTTCCACTGATATTAATAAAACTAGCGAAGTCCCCCCTCCCATACTAAATAATTATGAATTTTGAGCAAAATGGGTGAAATGAGTCCTTTTATTCGTTGGTGGGGAGTGGGGGAAAGGGATGAACACAAAGTCGACCAAAAAATTGTCATGATTCGGAGCACAGTTCTTTGGGAGGGTTTTTTCCACAGTGTAAAAAATTCTTTTGATCTGTACTGTAATGTCACCATAGGGGGCAGCGTGGCCGAGCGGATAGAGCGCTGGACTTAAAGGCCCCAAGTTCAATTCCCGCTCTGACCGCTAGCTACCCTGGGTACCAGAGGTTTTTCTCGCGTACGGCGGGAATTTTCGGTGTTGGCCGAAGGCCGACACATCTTCGGCCGTAAGCCGAAGCCACGAGCGGCGACAGAAACCGGAAACCGCGCTAGAAAAGTCTCTGGCACCCAAGGTAACCGATAGCTGGATTTGTTGACGGTAGTCACGAGTTCAAATCCTCGACCAAGCTTGTAAATAGCCCGATAGTTTGCCTCCAGTCAGTCGAGATTATTAACCCTGTTATGTTTGCTAATATTTTAATTATTTGTTTCAGACATTTGCTCGGCCCCACTAGCATAAGTGCTATCAACACTGCCGAAGGTAAAAAAAGGAATTAATTAACTAATCAATTAGCAGTACAATGTGATAGCGGGGATTCGTGCTACAACACGCACCTGATTATTCCGTCCATGGATCCGGTGCACACTACACTGTCACTCACAGCCACACATGAGTCAATTGATAGTGGATGACCCGGGAAACGGTCGCTAATGTCGCCCCATTCACCCCACGAGAAGAGGTTCAAGATGCCATCGCCAGTGCCACACACTACTTTACGTCCGCCCTACAAAAAAACAACGGAAACTGGTCGTCTTAATACAGAGTCGTTTCGATACGAGTCGTTTCCATACGACCTCCAGCACCGAGGTTACACACAAATTTCGATCACTTCAAGTATAGCTTGCGCGTGAACAAGGAATATTTAAGCCAAGTATGCGAAACTATTTACACCTCGACTGAATAAACTTGTATCGAGACGACTTTGTATCGAAGCGAAACGACCGGTAGCCACAATAGCAAAGTTCACTCCTACAGCCATTGTAAAGGCGTGTCTTGCTAGGTCTAACTGCTAATTCGGTGAATGAAACCCTGCGATGATACCATTTAAATGAAACCTCTTCAGCAGTTCTTTCACATAGTGCTATTTGTTTTGTACGTAGTTCTAACTTTCGAGTCTGTGGATGAAATCCTATGGCGTTACCATTCAAACGAAACCTCTTCAGCTGTACTTTTACATGGTGCTATTTATTTTGTGCGTAGTTCTAACTTTTGAGTCTGTGGATGAAATTCTATGATGTGACCATTCAAATGAAACCTCTTCATCAGTACTTTCACATGATGCAATTTATTTTGTACGTAGTTCTAACTTTTGAGTTTGTGAATGAAGCCAGGTCAAGCGCACCACCCAAGATTTCATTAATGAATTTATTATCCGAAAGTTGAATCTATTGGTTGTTGTAGATTTCAGATTCATCTTTGCATTCCTGCATGCGTAATGAGAAGTGACTTCACACGCAAGGTACATGTTGTCATGAAATTTCTACCAGCTCAGTTCTCTTGAATTTGATTTAAATGTCTTTGAAGCAATTTTGTCCTTTCAAAGATACATGTATTTCAATCCGACCGAATAAAGAGAAGTTATTGTAAAAATTTCACCGCTCATTTTGCATGCAGGAATGCAGATTTGGATTTGATACAGGTTGCAGAAATGATAGCCTCCCATGCAGGCGTTTTTAGGGGAGCTCGTATTTCTTTCCTGTGGGGAGGGACAAAATATGAGCTCCCCTAAAAACGCCTGCGTGGGAGGCTACCGAAATGACTGATGGATTCAACTTTTGAATTGTAAACTCATTAACCCTTTAAGTCCCAATGGTGACCAACATCAATTTTCTCCTAACCATACCCAAAGATTGTCAAGAGATTAGGTTATGAGAATTAATCAATTGATCATCTAAGAGAAAATGTTTGACCTTTTATCAAATGCTCTCAATACATTCTTTAAGGAAATGCATAGAGCTCAGTTTGGAGAATTCATATGTTGATATTGGGGCTTAAAGGGTGAATAGAATCTTGGGGATGCACTTGACCTGGCTTGACTGTAAAATATTATTTTTATTAGTTCCCATGCATATTCACCTTAACAATTGCCAGAGAGAGTAGCTCACTTTCCATGTTGTCTGACCTTTCTTCAATCTTCTGCCGCCGCACATTGAACACTGACAAAGTACCATCACCACTAACAGAAACAAAATAAAGCAAAAAGAAAGAAAGTGTCCTAAATGTAGGAGAACTTAACATAAAATTTTAAAGAACGATACAATCCACTGAAAATTCATTAAAATAATCACCATGTACATTATGTACATTTTGGCATCATTTCACACCTTGTGGCTAGAAGTGTTCGGTTTTCAGCATCACAGGCCATATCGGAGACGAAATCTTCATTATCTGTCACTGTCAGTATGTTTGATGCTTGTCTTGTGTCCCAGAACTAGATTAAATTGGTTAAAAAGAAGCACCAAAAAATTTTGTCAAGCACACAAATTATTAATGCTTTCCATTACAGTAACAATAGTGATAAAATTATTATTGTCAATGTTGTCTTTTTACAGTGGAACCCCTCCTAGCGGGCTATGGGATACCTCTATTTAAGGCTGGGACTTTAATTTCGGCAACACAAACTTTGGTCCTGGAAAATGTTCACATAACCTTTGCATCTGTAACCTCTCTTAAAGGGACAGTCACACCTCTATTCAGGGGAAACCGGGACACACTTTCTGGGTCCCAGAACCCAGGTTTAACCTCCATTTGGATCAATGTACTGCACTTGTGGGATTTCAACGCAGAATTTTGCAGAGATATAAGTTCATGATGATTTTTTATACATTGTCTATCTTCTTAAAATATTTACTGCAGTAGATTTCAAGGCACAAAAAAGGAAAATATTTTATTTGTAGGTTACTTTTTTAACAATTCCCAGCCCAACCTCCATTCAGGGGACACCTCTTTTCAGAGCACAATTTCCTTGTTCGCGAGGGTGTCCCCTGAATAGAGGTTCCGCCGTATTTTAGATCCCCCAGACAGATTTGAGCACTAATTCTCTTCACTTGAACTACATTTACCTTAACGCAACCATCATCATCACCAGTAGCCAGGAGATTTTCATTCATGACTTTCATGCAGTACACAGGAGACCTTAACATTACAAAAATAACAGAACGTTAATTGGCTAGAAAAGAGACACTCTCTTTGGATGACTCGAGCTTGCACACTGCCTTAGCTTGTTATTTTCAGCTTCTACCTGTGTTCCGGAATCCCTGTAAGTCATTTTGGAAGAGATTTCAATTAGATCGAAGACAATTATATCTTGCTGGTAATGTTCAGTCTTGTCCAGCTGGTGCACAACAGGTACTTCTCAAGTTTCTATTTTAACTCTCCTTTAAGGGAGACAACCTCAGGTATCAATTTAATGGTCACGAGAAGAGAAGAGAGTCTCTTTTCTCTCTTCTCTTCTTTTCCAAGGAGAGTTGCATGACGGGCTTAGGCTACAAAAAAAATTCTGACCAGGAGGTCTTCTAATCTCGTACATTACTTGTCACCGCCTGCCGGAAACAATCAATGAAGCCCTTTTTTTCTCTTAGTATCTTGTTTCATTTGTTAGATTTACTGAGGTCGTCGCGACTGTCGCGTGTGAATATTTCGCTAAAGTTTCTGTCGCTTTACTGCATAACGCTGGTTGCATTTGCGAAGCTATGAGCAAAATGGCTAGATTTCTAATTTCCCCTGGCAAGTGTTAAATCTACTTTAATTTAACGGGAAGATGCCGGCAAAACGAATCCGTTTTAACCTACGTCAAGTTCGACCACTACACTGCTAAACGAGAGCGGCAAATTATTTCTGTAGGAAATCCTTACTTGGTTATCGACTTTGGTAAGTTTAGCTTTGTTTAGCCGAGTAATTGATGGTAAGTCGTGATTTTTAATGTTTCGGTTTTTTGTCGATGAAAAATACCGAGAAAAATATCGAGCAGAAATTATTATTTTCGCACGTGTTCTCTGATGATGTGTTTCACATAATTTTTGATAATGTATTACAAAAAGATTCTGTCCAGATTTCTCGATATTTTATCAGTTTCACTCTATCACACGCCGCCCAACAAACGATCGCTAGCCTCTAGCAATTTGGCGCCGGCTTTCCTATTTTGCTTTTGCATTTTGATCACTGTCTCATGAAAGTGCTTTTAATTATTTGTGGCGGGAAATATGTACCGCGCGCGTTTGTTTGGCGCCCAGATCATTGACACCAGTGGAAGAGACTCCAGACAGGTAAGAAAACTTAATAATTATATCAGTAGCAATTGATGTTTAAAATTATAATTCTGGATTATTCTATTCTAGTTCAACACTCGAGAGAGTCAGCTCTTTTCTCAAAAAAATTTCGCAGACAAGTAGCCTCGCTGAGTCATGCAGGGTCCCCTTGTTTCCTGAGCTTTTGTTATCTGCGTTGCATAGTATTAACCTGTAGTATCCTGGGTAGTGTATACCTGAATTCTACAGTTAACTCGTAAAAATGCTCTGATCAATGCTGTAGTATCCTGGGTAGCGTATACCTGAAATCTACAGTTAACTTGCAAAAATGCTCTAATCATTCCTGTAGTATCCTGGGTAGTGTATACCTGAAATCTACAGTTAACTCGTAAAAATGCTCTAATCATTCCTGTAGTATCCTGGGTAGTGTATACCTGAAATCTACAGTTAACTTGCAAAAATGCTCTAATCATTCCTGTAGTATCCTGGGTAGTGTATACCTGAAATCTACAGTTAACTCGCAAAAATGCTCTAATCATTCCTGTAGTATCCTGGGTAGTGTATACCTGAAATCTACAGTTAACTTGCAAAAATGCTCTAATCATTCCTGTAGTATCCTGGGTAGTGTATACCTGAAATCGACAGTTAACTTGCAAAAACACTCTAATCAATGCTGTAGTATCCCGGCTAATGTATACCTAAAAAATACATAACATTGACTTATTTGACTTGTGGAGGTGACAATCTTATTCAACTCTTACTCTTTTTGAATATTCATGGTCAATTAACAGCTTTCTCTCAATCCATCTTATTTTTTTAGCACGCGCTCGAACTTGATTTTGGCACGAGTGTTGTCTTAACAAAGCGGAGTAAAAGAGCAGTATAAGAACATGTATTGCAGTATTTTGTGTTAGTGATGTAGGAACCTCTGAATTTGGCGATTTTGCGATAATGACATATCGCCAGGACTATTTCATTTGCTTGATATAAAAGCAGTACAAAAAAATCTTAAACTTTAAGATTTTTTTGTACTGAATCATATTTAGTATTTGTCTGTTAATTGTTGTTTCTGTCGGCTTTATAAGGATTTGATGCCTTTACATACTGATACAGGACCATAAAGTAGTTAGCGCGTTTGTTAAATTTGGTAATGTTAAATTAGAGTATAAAGAGCTACTTTTACGAATTTTACGAAAAACATTTTCCCGGCCTTTTAGGAAGCGGCCTAAATAGTTTCAAAGTTGCAGGACAGTCACAAAACTGAATTTTTGAGTTTACCTCCATTTCATACTATAACTTACTGCCCGAGACTGAAAAAGGCGCAATGTAAAATGTTTATGGCGTTTTACTATTACCAAAATAGTAAGTGCCTCGGAAGAGGGTTAGCCGAGCAGAAAAAGATTTAAACCTTGCATTAATCGGATATTGCGGTTACTTTCATTTCAGTTTATGGTAGCTTGAGTTACTCTTTTGTGGGCAATTTACGGAAGTCCTAGGGTATTCAGCTAACACCTCAAGAGCCTAGAGCTGTCAGACCTTGGTTTTGAATTACTTATGCAAATTAGCTGGCTGCACATTCAATGTGCAGCCCGCTAATTTGCATAAAATTTTTTCGCGCTTCAAAGCTCGTCATGATTTAATGATATAATGGAAACTGGAGATGTAATTGCCGTGACCCACTGCACAATGCACCAGACAGGAAACATTTAAAACCACCAAGGTGAACCATCTTGGATCTTGGATCCCTTCCAAATGGACTTGGTAAGACTCAGGGACACAGTGACGGGAAATAACAACAGATTTTGATATAGCTAACACAGCATTTGCATTCATTGTGGATGACTGACAAAAAAGTCCTTTCATTATTCAACAATAAGAGTCTACAAGACTGGCAAGTGGAGCTTTTGGCCTGCTAAGATGCCATTCAGGGTGGACATTGTTCGTTGATCAGCCATTATTTTAAGGCCTGAACACATCGCTTCTCACTTCAAGTTATCAATGGGCCATTTCCGAGTTCCCCCGGGCTTCAGTTTGAAAACGAGGGTAGGTGCTCAGCCTTTGATATGGAAATCATTTTTCATTCTGGTGCAAACAAAACTCATTTTCACAAGAAAGGTTGTGCACCTAGCCTCATTTTGAAAGTGAGGGTTTTTGGAACTCAGAATTAGCCTATTTCATGTCCAACATTAAAGTGATACTTTAAAATATGTTGTTTGTAAAGAAATAATTGTATGCTATTTTTTTTTGTAATAATTATTGTCATCGTCTTTTTAGGTGAAAGCGTTGCGTAACAATTGTTGTTAGATAGTTTTCATTGCAGCATTTTTTTTTTCAGCTTTCTTTTGTATTAATTTTGTACCGTAGAAATTTAAGATTAATAAAATGCAAAAACATGAAAACAACCATACTTGTGTGCTTTGTTAACTGCATGTGCAACTCCTCCTGTATTCATGTCAACAGCCTGCAATGACTTGTCTTTTGATGCGGTAAAAAGATCTGAAATTCCACAGAACTTCAGTTAAGTAAATTTAAATCTGTAGGGGAGAATACATTATCATCATGTTCAGTCCCCATGCATCAATGTACATCGGTCCTTCAGCATGCAAAGAAAGCGGTGTTCAATAGCCCGGGGCTAGTGGATTTTGCTATCGGGGCTAGTGAATTCTGTTTTTAACTTGCCCGTCAGGCAAGTGATGTTTTTTGAGGAATTCGAATAACAGAAGAACTGTGAAATCAGTTCTGCTCATCAAAAAGCTTGTGGGGCTAGTTGAAATGATGTTGTCTGGGCTAGTAAATGCTAGCTTGTGAGCTTGCCCGCATGGCAAGCTATTAATGATTTTCTTTGCACCCTGGTCCTTTCACCATCCAGCATAAAAATATTAACAACAGAAGTGATGATGCCAAACTGTGCTTGTGAGCAGACGACAACTTGTATGTTTTAACCCTTTAGGTCCCAAGAGTGGCCAACATCAATTTTCTCCCAACAATATCAGCAGATCATCAAAAGTAAAGGTTATGAGAATTACTTAATTGATTACCAAAGAGAGAACACTTATCTCAAAACCAAATTCTCACAACTTTTCTTAAAAGAAATGTATGGAGATCAGTCTGAGAATTTGTATGTGGATCTTGGGGCTTAAAGGGTTAATGCCTCAATGAAGATCATGAGATGATGGTCAAGAGACTTTTGATTCTTTGTCTTACAAGTGTTAATGAAGGCAAGCATTGCAAGAAAAAATACACTTACTGTTTAAAAGTAAGAGTCTGTTTACAGGAATCAAGGTGGGAGACCCAAGGTAAGTGAGGTAACACTCTTAGGTGGGATAACCCGCCTATTTATATTAATATAGTCTCTCATATGGTCACCCCACTTATCATGTTAAAGTGATTCAATCAAAATGAGAGATTATATGTACGGGTGGGTTACCCCTCCTAGGCAGGTTACCTAACCTACCTGGGGTCCCCTACCTCCTTGCAAGCAGGCCCTAAGATACCACCCTCTAACAAGATGCAAATTGCCTGGCATGCTACCTGATTCCTAGGGTGCCGGTGTACGTGTGTTCGATTGACCATAAATATGAAAGGAATAAACTCTATGATAAATCAGTCATTTGGGCATTCATTGCTTTAATTTGCAATAGCTAGAAATCCGCTTGAAATAAAGGATCCCAATGTATGTTAGCATTTAAGAGGCTGTCCGCGTAAGAACCGATAAGGCAAATTTTGGTCTATCACGGATTGTCCTGATTTTTTCAGTGGAAGATAACTATCCTATCCCATGAAGAAATATCACATTTATTTGGACCAACTCAATTTTTTCTCTATTTTACAGAAAGATTTTTTAGGTCACCTAAAACTGGCCAGTTTGCCGTCGAAGTGGTGCGATTTTAAGGAAGCTATAGGGCTCTTGCAAACCTACCTTAGATAGCCGAATAAGCTGATTATTTTACACATTAATGTTTTAACTCTGATTAATAGTTTCAAGGTTTAATGGTTGCATTCTGTGGAAAGTTGGCTGAGATATGATTTTTTTAAAATGACCTTTAATTTGCTTATCGGGAAAAGTAATTTGCATAACTAGAGCTGAACGGTAATTTTCAAAAAGTGGCACCTGACCCAGACTCAAGTCTATGATAAAACAGAAGCACTAAGACCAGTTTACTTCTTAATGCAATAAAATTTGTGGGCACTCCTCTTTGCGTGCTGTACAAAGTTCCGTTAATGTTCCAACATTCGCCATTTTGACAGCAAAGCTGGAATTGTAACGGTCTGCATCTGGTCGACTAATTTCCACAGCTTTAACGTTTCTAGTTATCACTAACTGTCATTAGACCCTTTAAATGTTGGACTTTCGAAAACATGTGAAGAAAACTTGGTAATCGCTTTTTCTTGTTTTTTTTTTCTTGTCGACGATGAACGTGACTTCATTCTCCGTATGCAAATTAGCCTTAGATGCGTCGTTTCAACAACTTGACATGAAACAATCCTTACATTTCACTTTTCTAAGGAGAAAAATAACTCTCGTTTCCACAGAAAAACACGAACCATCACTTAGAATCCCTTTAAGGTCGGGTTTTTTTTTTGTTTAACGAGGAAGAAGTAGCTGAATAATATATCATGATATATGTTTGCGTGGCTTAAAATAATTCAATTACTGTGGCCTGTCACGCATTCCTAGAGAGGGGCGGTCGATTAGAAAACAATAGCTTTGAATCGATCAATTTTATTACATTATCATCTTTTTTTAAATGGTAGTTATTGATAATAATTAAAAATAAGAGTTAACTTGCAAGGTAAGTCCTCTTGTCAACACAATAAAATTTGTGGGCACTCTTTTTTGCTTATCAGATCTTTGTACACGGCACTATGATAAAAAAAAATGCCCCACACTTTTTCTATCTTAATCCATGTATAGCTTTGCAAAAGGCAAATTAGCTGTAAATTTCAGTTTCATTCAAAGATCTTTAAAGCGTTTATCGGTAGCAGAATGAAACGGGAAAAATAGTTTCTTTTTACAGTAAATACACGAAAAAGGGATTATCTCAGTTTTTAGTTTTTGTTAGGGTATAACATCCGTATTCCCAAGATGATCTTGTTTTGGTTTCAATCTAATTGAATTATAATGCAACAGGTGCCAGTTTCAAATATAATTATGTCATTGAAATCGCCGAAGAGATCAATTGTGAAAAAAGCTGTTCTTTTCGCGAGATCGTCAAGACAGAGTGTGGTCCCAGTAGGGGTGTGGAGGGAAATGTGTTGGTCGCAGAGTGCATGAATGATATTACGTCGCACTTAGCCAGCTGTCACTTGTCTGAGTGTAGCAAAGTCAATGACTGAATGGACTCATTTTAGCGAGGGTAGAGGTTTGGTAGGTATTCGAACTGAAATGACAATCTGCCCAAGGCACAGACCATAAATAGCCTGTGTACAGCCCCCTCCCTTAAGAAAAATCGGAGAAGGGGCCCCTTCTCCGAGGGGGTGGGGCTGGTGTGTACACAGGCTAACACTAAAATGACAATCTGCCCAAGGCACAGACACCTACTTGGCAGGTTTTTGCGAGCGCCAAGGTCTTATTAGGCTCGATTGTAAGCCGCTGTGCTGGAAAATGAGCCCCCAAGGGATTGGGAGCGGCGGAAATCGAGCCTAAGGTCTTGTCAATACCCCGGTCACACTCTGGATCATACTGGCAAAGTAACTACTGTGGCAGGAAATAAGTCAAAGTTTTGCTCCATCATGTAAGTATCATTTTTTTTCTTTTTCATGCAAAAAATTTCTAAACGTACAGAGATATTCTTATTTCTCCATTTAACATTTTATCTTGCGATGTTTTCTGATGTTCGTTTCCAGTTCAGTTGAGCTTGCAAAGATAGTTCATTTATTTCTACTTTTTGACAGCTGTGTATCTTGCTCTAATCAATTCTTACCTATAAAATACTATACATAAAGGTTAATCCGTGTGTTGTAAAGATAGTTTTCTGATGATTGTTTGAAGAGCATCATAGATGGGGAAAAAAGAAAGAACTTTCTACACGGAGCCAGGATTCAACCTCGTCCCTAGGGCTTTCCCGCCCCTGCCATTTTCTAAGAAGAATGTCCCTGGGACGTGTGTGAAAAGTATTTCATTCTTGCAATAAAAACAATTTTTTTTTAACTTAAACAGTGTTAAAACATGTCTCTGGTTTTGTAAAAATTAGTGAGACTTAAAAGTACCAGAATGTTCAGTTCAACTTTATATAGCCGATTTGCTCCTCCTGTGGCAAGAAACGTGAAAAAACTTGACGCCAAAGGGTCGAGAAGAGTACGATTGATCAGTCAGCAACCATGTCCACACCTTTGCCAGAGAGGTTTATTGGACAAGATTTCTCTCTTTTTCTTAGTTCTTTTTTCTTTAAGAACCGCCAAAGATGCTGCTAAGGCTGCAATAAGCGCGCTCGCCTTTTCATATACTTCACCTAGTGAAAGCCTACCCTTTCATATACCTGAAACCTGAAAAAGATACCCCTTTCGGGCGGAGCCTCCCCGTATAGGCCATCATAGGGAGTTTCCCCCACCCCCGTTCCAATTCCGTGCTAGCACTCACCTATTGCCAGCCCATGTTGGACTCTAGGCCCGTTTGAGTCAACACCTAAACATAGTCCTAAGTGTAATTACAATAAGGCAATGGACGAAATAACCAATGTAATGAACTTGAATATACATTGAACTTGACCATAGAGATCTGCTGCAAGAAGACGAAGTGTTCGAAAGGCAAAAGCTTGTTGCAGGAATCGCTGAAGAATAATTGAGACCACAACACCCTCAATCAGAAGCTTTCAACCTATGTGTATGTCAAAGAAAGATCAACCAAGTGAGTTCAACGTGGTAACAGAGCCGTAGAGCAGCTGCCTCCTCTGGACCTGTTGAGCCAGACAAATCAAGTCTGTGGATGGATTTGTTTTCTTTAGACTCAGTTATTTTGATTATAGTGATTTGCAAATGTTTGCCATTTTCATCTTGAGGTCTATTTTTTTTAGAGACATATCTCATGACAAGTGCTGAAAATAGCATTTCTGAGCCTGCAAATTTGAAAATTTTTTCAGGGGAGGACACCCCAGGCCCTTCTAAGGCTCGTGCCTTCGGCTCTCGCGATAATGCCCCTCGTTACAAAAAAAACCTAGCTACAGCCTGGGTAATGCTTAAAAAAAAAATAAGTTGTGTCACTTTGAAATACCGTTCAAATCCAGGGAAAGAAAAGGAGACCTAATTTACAAACTTTCGTCTTTCATACACTGAGTGCACGTGTTTTTCTCCATCAGCTCAGTAGTAAACATAGACAACATAGGGATCCTTAATTTAGTGTGATTAACAGCCGGCAAAAACTTTGTGGATTTAACAGGAGACGGACCGTAAACAAAAGAACTATGCCTTTTTCTTTTTTCCAAGTGACTACTTTTGGCTTATTGTCGTGTATTACACCATAGGCCGTCATATCAAACCCTATCCTAGTGGCGCCCGGTGATACTGACTCAGTTAAAACGGTCGTAGAATGAATCCCGGGGGGGCTACTTGGGTCAATTTTTGCTGGGTATGTGCCGCTGGCCTCTTAGAGCCCCTAGCCCATCATAGACTATTCTGTGGCCAATTATAGACCCCATCTCAGTCACTTTGGGGCAAAAATGTAATTTTTGCGATCCCAACTTAGTCACTTTCTATTTAAGTATCTACCTTATATTGAATGGAAAACACCAACAGTACAAACATTCTGGTACGTTTGCTAACTGCTAATATGAAGAACTGTCTAACCCCAAAAATCAGAAAACGTGCGACCCCATTCTAGTAAATTCTATTAAAAACGAGACCCCATTATAGTCAATCTAGTCGTGAAAATGCGACCCCATCCAGCGGCACATCCCCATTAGCCTCTTATAAGCGAGTACCCTCCCCGGGGAATGAATAAATACAACAGCACGAAAGAATCGGAATTAACAGTGATTAAATTGTATGATTATCAATAGCCTGTGAAGACTAAAGGCCTGTTCACGGGCTAGATTATCAATAACTATCACCCCCCAAAAAATATAATAAGATAAAAGAACTGATCGATACACGGTCACTCTGGGGGAATGCGTGACGAGCCACAGTAATTAAATTATTTTAATTCGCGTAAACATATCTTCTTCTGCTGCTTCTTCCTCGTAAAAGAAACAGACCTAAGGGGATTCTAAGTCATACATCGTTCGTGTTTTTCTGTGGAAAGAAGAGATATTTTTCCCTTAAAAATATGAAATACAAGTATTATATTTCCTGTCAATTTGTGGAAACGACACATCTAAGGCTAATTTGCATACGGAGAATGAAGTCATGTTCCTCGTCGACAATGAAAAAAAAAACAAAAAAAAGCGATTACCAAGTTTTCTTCACATGTTTTCGAAAGTCCAACATTTAAAGGGTCTAATGACAGTTAGTGATAACTAGAAACGTTAAAGCTGTGAAAATTAGTCGACCAGATGCAGACCGTTACAATTCCAGCTTTGCTGTCAAAATGGCGAATGTTGGAACATTAACGGAACTTTGTACAGCACGCAAAGAGGAGTGCCCACAAATTTTATTGCATTAAGAAGTAGACTGGTCTTAGTACTTCTGTTTTATCATAGACTTGAGTCTGGGTCAGGTGCCACTTTTTCGAAATTACCGTTCAGCTCTAGTTATGCAAATTACTTTTCCCGATAAGCAAATTAAAGGTCATTTTAAAAAATCATATCTCAGCCAACTTTCCACAGAATGCAACCATTGAACCTTGAAACTATTAATCAGAGCTAAAGCTTTTATGTGTAAAATAATCAGCTTATTCGGCTTTGTGAGGCAGGTTTGACAGAGCCGTAAAGTTTCACCAAAATCGCACCACTTCCGACGGCAAACTGGCCAGTTTTAGGTGACCGAGAAAATCTTCTTGTAATATAGAGAAAAAATTGAGTTGGTCCAAATAAATGTGATATTTCTTCATGGGATAGGATAGTTATCTTCAACTGAAAACATCAGGGCAATCCGTGATAGACCGAAATTTGCCTTATCGGTTCTTACGCGGACAGCCTCTTAAGTGGCCCAAAAATCACAAAACAAGAGGTTTGCAACAAAACTTTTGTGTAAACTTACTCCAGAATATGCTCAATCAAATGCACCCCTATAACACAGGATGTGATAATTGTTCATTCATAGCATGCAAAGTCCTAAAAACTGTAAATATTGTGGCTTAAATTCCTGTGCAATTATTTCATTGTGAAGCTTTACAAAGTAATGCTGATGTGTGTACAATTCTGAAACAGAAGAGCTAGCAATAAATGACCCTTGAGTATCATCCCATGATGTACATGTACATGCACACTGAAGTAACGAAACTTACATTGAGTTTACAGTAAAAGGTGTACAGCTGTATGTTTTTTTGTTGGTGTTGTTGTTTATTTGTTTTAGAACTATCCCAGCACATGTACTCTTAAAACATTGTACTAAATACAATAAAATAAGAACATTGCAGTTCCTTAAAAATTTACATGTCAAGGAAATGCTGGTTTCTCTATTCAATCAAAATTAAAAACTTACACAAGCCGTCTTTGGAAAATGCCAAAGCTCTACAAGCCTTTTTGTGATGGTGAAGATCCAAAAGCAAATGATTCTCTTCAGAAACAGAGTATGAGTAGCTGTACAAAAAAAGAATTGTTTATAATCGTGTTACATGACTGTGCACATATTCAGCAAGGGAGCAAGGGTGGTGCAGTGGTGAGAGCGCTTGCCTCCCACCAATGTGGCCCGGGTTCGAATCCTGGCATCGACGCCATGTGTGGGTTGAGTTTGTTGTTGGTTCTCTCCCTTGCTCCGAGAGGTTTTTCTTCGGGTACTGCAGTTTTCCCCTCTCCTTAAAAACCAACACTTTGAAATTCCAATTCGATCTGGAACACATGGACATGTTTCAACGAGTTATTATGAACTCCTCAGTGATCCGTGGGTAAACAAATTACAATTTACAATTTTATTAACGTTTTTTTTTGGTTGGTAAAAACTTGTCAATTGTGGGCACCTCTGTACATTCAATTTATTGGGCTTCCTAAACATTTTCTAGGAGAACAGCCTTGAAGTACATGTATCAAGAAAAATGAAACTTTTTAAAAATTTCAACTTTTCAAATCAGGGGTTACATCCTCTGATTTAAAAGCAATTTAAAGGCTATCAGTCAATGGGTGTATTTGCAAGTTAAAGAATGCCAATGCAGTGGATTGCAGGTTTTAGATTATAGATCGAAATTTTGTTTTGTTGAAAATGGTCAGGCTAGGACTTGAAGTGGGCCAAAATAGTGTTCCATAACTTAATTCTCAAGTCCCAAACCTGGTTCCCAGACCTGCACTGAGCCCCTGAAATGTGATGTTAGTTGACATTAATGGTTGGTGAAGTGATACAATATCAAAATAGGATCACCCCAAAACCAGGGGAGTGGGTAAAACTAGCAGTTTTAGACTTTTCCATTAAGCCAGGGGGTGGGTGCGTCCCTCATCTACTGTAGTCTTTAAAAGTAAGTAAGCTTTTCAGGGCTCAGGGAAGGACTGGGAACCAATTCCAGGACTTGATGGATGGGAAGAAATGGGAGCACTATTCTGGCCCACTTCCAGTTCTTGTGCGACACTTCCCGTCTTGGCCCCAGTTGTTCAAAAGGTGGATTTATAATGCCATCCATGGGATAAATTTCTGTTCAGTGGATAGAACAATAATTTATTGGTGTCTGCTGGATGATGATTTATCCAATGGATAGCCCTATCCCCTGGGGGGGGGGGGGAGCTCCGCATATGAAATGGGTGGGGGTGCTCGTAGGAAATTTTGAATTAAACCCCTAGAGGAGACCGATCCAGGCATAATCCAGGCTTTTTTTTTTACCCCTAAAAGAGACCATGTTAAAACACAGACAATACACATATTTTAATATTTTTTCACATGCAACCCTAAACGAGACCTTCACAGCTAAATATGATGGCGTTTTGCCCGGAACACCCTAAGTGAGACCAAAATCCGAAATTTACATCCCTATAAAGCAAGACGACGAACATCCCCACCCCTTTTATATGCAGAGTCCCTCCCAGTCACCTTAAGCGAAATTCTGGTGTGCAACCTGCAACTTGCAACCTGCAACCTTACTTTATACCCTCTCAGAATGATCAAAATAAGGTTTTACAATGAGTGAATGGGGTTTAGAGCACCCACGTTGCTGGCCATTCTTTCCTTCTGCTTCCCTCAACAAAGTGCACCTCTTTTTTGGCTTTTCATGCATATCAGGAATGCTCCCTAAAGCAGCTGAGCTAAAATTAAGGAAGTATCGTAAAATTCCGAAAATAAGCCCCGGGGCTTATATTTTTCAAAGGCCCTTTTTGAGGGGCTTATTTTTGGAGGGGCTTATCTACGGAGGGAAATTTGCGTTTCAATATCGATTGGGCTAGCCTTATAAATGGAAGGAAATTTACCATTTTTGCCTTGTTTTACTTTGTATTTGAGGGCAATTTCCAAGCACAAGCCCCTCGGGGGGCTTATATTTGGAGGGGCGATTTAACGGAGGGTTTTTTGCGTTACGAGTTTGGGGGGCTTATATTTGGAGGGGGTCATACATGGAGGGGCTTATTTTCGCAATTTTACGGTATCCTGTCCAAGAAAATTTCCCATGGAAACATTTATCTGGATTATAATCTACGGTATATTTTTATGATACCCTAATGTTCCTGTTCAAACACGTGTCATTCAGTGTCCAATCAAACTTGAGATAAGTGCTTGGCATAATTTTCACACCAAAATCAAAATCAAGTCAAAAACAGAATGAGCAAGTCGAAAACCGCTAAAAAAAAAGGAACATTGGTCTATGTGGGGGATCGCAAATATAATTATCAGCTTCCGATGGTGAACTGAGGCTGGGATCGTGAACTTGAATTGCAATTTTAAGGAATAGCGCCCAACACCAGACGTTAAAAAAATAACTAACATTTGTTACGTGAATGTTAAGGTCTGTGTAGCGTGTAGCCTGAATAGATTCCCAATTTCTTTACTTACACTGTGACCCTTCCCTCAATTTCTCCAGCAGCAATAATATCTCTGTTAGGATGGAAACTCAAATCGAAGACTTGACTTTGGAAACTAATGTCACTTGGTACACCATCTTCTGGCACCTTATAAGAAAACAAAAATAAATAGTTGTATGTAAATTTGAAAAGCTTCATTATTCTTTTTAATGATAAGTAGCAAAGCGATATTAAATTAGTGTTCATCAAACCTCCTTTGAACCACTTGATTGACCCGCCATTTTCAATCTCGTTGGCAGAGGCTGTGATACATTTCAATAGCCCTACTTAAAGTACCTACCCAAGACAATACCGCACATTCTCCGACAATACAGTTGTCTGCAATCAGTAGCTCAATATAGGCTGTATCGATAGCTGAGGTAATGGCGATGTCCGAGAGGACACAAACTAACTCTCTTATTTCAGTACCGTTTGATAGTTTCGTTTCCTTTATTGCTTCTTTGCCTTTGCTTTGTTTTGTATCATGTGTGACCATTGCTACAGTCTGGCATTTTGAAGAAACCACATGGACCCATTGTCAAGTGAGTAGAATTATGCGAGCGTTGATGTGTAAAAAAGCGGGTCTATTTTTTATTTATAATACTAAACTTGTCACTATTCCTACTTCCTAAGAGTTTATGATAAGCTTACATGTACAAAACCTCTCACTAAGTGCCGAATGCTATATCCCTTCGAAAGTATAAAAACACGCGCACTGCGTTTGCCACCTTTTTGGACTCGACAAGATGAAGACTAAAGGAGGTTCATTCGGTCTGGCTGTGAATAAACAAAATAGAAAGATTAAAATCACGTTTACGCCTCGTCGTGACCAACTCATTTTTTTGTGTTCATTTCCTTAACTTAGGCCATCCCCCTTTTTTTGGTTTCAGCGTCGAATGCGTTTCCTGATGTTGGGTCGGTCGATCGGATTGAAAACTGAAGTCTCGGAATAGGAGGCCCTGGTACCCCAGGATGGCGTTAAAAGTTAACATTCACATAGTTGGATTAACAAAATGCACAATGTACTGTAAAAAATGTTCCTGTTTTTGTGCCTGTTTTTCTCTATGCTCTATGCTCGTTTCTCAGATTAAAACAGGAGCCCATCCTGATTAAAAAAGAATTATTTCAAGTGAACAACGGTTTAACTACGTCGGTACTTTTTTTTTTTTCGGAAAATGCCAAAAATTTGGGTCGGTCAGACGACGCTAAACAGAGAAAAAAGAGGACGGCCTTAAGCTTCAGCTAAATAAGCTTTAATCTAATCAAACATCAGTTTTTTTTAAATATTATTTAAAAAAACTGATTTTTGATTAGATTAACGCTTAAGCTTAAAGCTTAAGCGTTAATCTAATCAAAAATCAGTTTTTTTATCTAAGCTTGTGCATAGGCTAAAACCAGGAGTGGACCCTGGACTCTGGACCGGTCTGGACTTTACTTTATGTATGTTCTGTATAGAAAAATGTGAAGGGACGGGGGGGGTGGGCGGGAGTTAGGGGGGTGCGGTAGGGTTAGGGTTAGGGCCTTAGGGGTCCAGGAACAAACTCCTATTGTTTTTTTATCATCTCATGCATTTCTTCCCTATTTACTGTAAATCTATGACTAATTCATACTTAAGCTATTACTGATCTTGCAACACTTTATTACTGTCAAACTCAGAAAACCGTGAACACCTGAAAAATTTCAGGTCAGTTGATTGTGTACTGGACAATCACAATAAAGTTCAGGATACGTAAGCAAACCTCAAAACCACATATTAAGTACTGTTGCTGTTTGCCGTTTAGTTATCTTGCGCGTTATTGGCTTTTTACTTGCAACACAATAACATTCCATAAATATTTCTGGTGTTCACGTTTTGTGACTTTCACAGTAAGTGGGCCGAAGAAATATATTGTTATGCCAAGAGCTAGCAAACAAACGACGGCTCTGGGAAACGTAAATTCCTCCTGTCAGTCAGTATCAGAGCTAGAGATTTTTTATTAATCAACAACAGGCCTGTTATGTTTTTACGTTAAAGACCTGTTGACGTACAAATCTTTTATTTATTGGGAAAATTATCAATTTTAATTACGTTATAGTTATTATCTTAAAGTTCACTTGTTTAGTACGGCCATTTTGGTGACATTCTCTTCAATTTGTGGCAGATTCTCAAGAGCAAAAAGATTCCGATTTTGACATTTTCAACAGCGAACAAGCAAGCTTGACATTACCACCTTCCACCATTCCACCTTCATTCATGGGAGGAGGAGGTGTGCGCGCGAAACAGCCTGGATGACTTTGAAGTAACATGCTTGTAAAGAAATAGAAAAAAAAAGAAGGAAAATCGGCTAAGAGAAGAAAGAAAGTGGTTGAAATCAGTTGAAATACATGTATCCTGTATCTACCTACTGCAACCCCCTATCCCCCACCCACCCCCTGCTACCTCCACTGACAAGTGCACACACAATCAATTATCGGAGGTTTAGAATCTCGTTAAGGTCAAACCACAGATGTTAGATTCAATTAGTTGTAAATTTCTTAGAGTAGGAAATGAGCATAAGGGTATAGGCTAAAAGCAGGACCGGACCCTGGACTCTGGACTCTACTTTATATATGTTCTGTACAGGAAAATGTGAAGGGATGGGGGGGTATTGAACTTCTATGAAATTAGAATTGCGTCATGCTCCCTAAACAACAAAATAAAGAGATCACAAGTCCAAGAAGGTGACCCCCTTACAAAGCTATAAAGGGGGCAGTGATACTCATAGGTATTTTGGCTTAATTTTCGTTGGCGTTGAAGGTTTAGAGTGTGTCTAGATCTTATAGCCGAGTGCATCTTGTAGATCGTTTTCACTGTCACACAACAAAAAAATAAATTAGAAACTGTCCATTGGAAGAAGCCAAGAAAATGAAATGTTATAAAAGACTAATATTTAAACAATTTGTCCAAGTCTCAGGTCTTTTTGGCCCATAGGTTCTGAGTTATTTGCCGAAACATTTCACACACCTTCGTAGAGCTTTGTATGGAGATGCCATATTGGTGTGCAGTTTTGGTGCACCAATTTTTTTAATGGCCGCTGGAAATAAACAAAAACATCTAGCTGGAGTTCACTTTTTCTGTAAAAGCTCTTTCTTTTCACTCGAGAACTAGCATACGCACGCATAAACATATCTTCTAATACTTGAAATGGTTATACCGCTGAAAGTCAAGAGAAGAGACTTTTTTTCAATGAGACAGCATTCCTATTTTGTTACGCACTGTGAAAACTCAGAACTTCAAATTGGTGTATTTTGGAAATGAAACATGATATGGGAATGGAAACTTTTGTGCAAAGATTTATTTTTTGTTTGTCTTCAACCTAGTGTAAATAAGAATTCGTAAAACCTCACTATTTTGACTTTCCGATTTGATGACGTCACAGTGAAAACCATCTATAACTGAAAAATTACAGTAGATAGGAACTTGTTTTAGTTCGGTTAGAAATACATGAAAAAACAAAACAAAACAAAAAAGTTTTTGTAGTTTGATCTTGTCTTGTTTATATTTGTTTAGGTTCCAAACTACCTACCATCAATAAGTGCTGCGATAGGAGGTCATCAACCAGAGAAGTTTATTTGGCACATTGGAATTGCTTTGCATTGTCTTCCACGTATATTATTGTTCCCAGTGGCAGTTCATAAACATTACCAAAGTACCCTGTCAGGCCGGAAACACAATTTAACTACATGGTGGTTTTGGCTGCTCAACCTTTTAACCAATATTTCACAAGTAGTGGAAAATGGAGCTCTCTTAACACTAACTTATATCTCTTCTACTGACAACTTTGGTGAGTTTCTCAAGGGTCTTTGATGTTCATAATATTATTATTGACATGGTTGGTGCTGGGCCAGTTTGTTATGAGAGGGCAGGCCCTCATATCTTAATACTATTGTTCTAAATATAGTTGGTAAATTGTGCTGGGTTTCTGAGAGATCACACCACATGTATGCAACTAGATAGGGTTAGCTATGTTGTGGCAGTTATGTGATTTCTACAGGCTGACAATAAATCAGTGATAGTGCATGCCTTTGGATGGATTATAGTGCTTTATCAATTCAAGTTAGGTATTTAATTTATAGTTTTTAACTGATGTCCTTAATTCTTTTACTTGCAACAAAATAGACTTTTAAAACAGAAAATCCAATGAGAAATATAGCATGAAGTAAGGAAAATATTTCCCACCCTTGGCTTATAATTTGACAAATTATTGACAACTTTACTTCTTTATGTTATCATTATCATTATTATTATTATTATTATTATTATTATTATTATTATTATTATTTTTTTATGTTGCAGATGTCCATGAAGGATCTTTTATAGTGTTTATGGTTTGTTCAATGATCTACATGTTTTTCTCTTGTGTTTTGTTGAAGTTGACATCAAGCCAACCAATCACCACAGAGGTTTGCAACATAACTTTATTTATCACCATAAGGATTGTGGGGGGGTGGGGGTGGTGGTTGGTGGATGTGGTGCTGGGGACGAGGTGGGAGTAGAGAGGCAATTGAGAAGTATTTTACTCTTTGCTCACTATGATTTCCAAATCACTAACTTTTATATGTCGTTGATCATCAGATTATGGAGTAATATTTCCAATAAAATAAATAATTACTTTATACATGTAATTAATTGTTGCGCCCAAGTTTCTGCGTTAATTCAACTATTAGGTGGGGAATCAAACATCTCGGGATTTCTTTTAGTTCTACTTTTTCTTATTTTTTTTTAGGAAAGTTGTTGAGGCCTCAACGGGGTCACCTTTGAAGTATCATTTTTTTATTCTTTTAATGAAAGTACAGTAGCCTGTGGTCACCCTTATTGTAGGTCGGAATACTCCCATATCCCTGGGGCTTAATGAAAGCCACGGTGTGAGTGGCTTTGTTACAAAAAAAAATGTTCATTGGCAAATGTTTCTTTATTATAATAAATTTTCAAGTTTGTTTGCTCTTGTCCTTTCCATAGGAACATGGATTTTTAAAAAGAAAAGTCTTCATTGTGTTTTTCAACTATTGTTCATTTGGCCTGGCTGTCTATTTCTACTTTAGACATGATGGGTACTGTGAACCAGGAGGTATCCTTTGAAACTTTTCACTCAGCCTCTGGAATAAATTAAACTGCTATTCATGATTTGCATAATTAACTTTAGTTCTTTATAGTATTAGATTGGCCAAAACTGTTTTTAGCTTCAAAGTCCGTTGAGCGCGTGTGAGAAAAAATATAAACCACGTGAGAATTATTCACTGCCAGTGCAAAGGGGGTAGATGTGAGGGAAGATTTTCTTTCTCGTGCTCCATGCTTGTTCTCTTGCTTCACACTCACTCTCACGCGCTAGCCGATGTTTTCAAAAAGAACGAAAAGAAAAGTAAAACAACGTCTGTGCACAGGCTAGGTTTTAGCACATACATTGCAAGCATTTAAAGACAAACATACAATGTAACAGCACCAGTAACAGCCCTCTATTAGAAAGATACCATATTATAATTGGTATTATCATGGCAGAGGGTAGGCCAAGATGATTCTGTCTGAGGTACTGTAGGGAGGCTTGTTTAAGTGAATAATAATGTGACATGTCAAAATTAAATTTAAATGCATCAAATTCTCCATTTACTACGCAGATTTCCTCAGCTAACATTCAGTAGCCTAAGACTATTTTTTATTCAGACGTGGAGCCTTTTTCAGAATATTCTCCTGTAATGTTACACCTTTCTCCTGCTACAAGAATCCGTAATGAAAACCCTGCTGTTTGTAATGTTATATTTAACTAAAATTTTAGAAGAAGCATGACAAAGGGCTCCATGAAAACGTCCCATGGCCCTGCACTCATTTTCTTTTTGAAGAGAACTTTTTCATGAAGGCTGAAGCCTTTTATCATGCTTCATAAGGGCACGCATACTGTAAAGTGCAATCATTGTGACCAGCTATTAGTTGGTAGCCAATGTGAACAAAACTGTTGAAAGGCGCTGTTATGTCTTTTGCTTCGGAGTCCAAACTTTTTAGTCCTGTTAATTTAGGTTTCTGGGAAACCCATGTACAATCATCTAACCCTCGTCTTAGCCAACATTTTGCTGGATTCATGCATGCCAACATTTTGCCCCAAGTGAGAAGTGTTAATGTTGGCTTAGGGAAGGGGTGGGTGGGCAGTTTCGCAGAAACTTAACTTGATCCACTAGTACTATGTCTTTACAGAAATCTTGAATTTAAATACATTTTGTTTTAGCTGCAAGGCACAGTTAATTCCTAAGCTACATCTATGCTAACTTCTTTTAATGATCAAAACTTTGTTAAGTTCTTTACCTTAACACATTCTGTAGTTTATACTCTGTTTGCACTGTGTGAGTACTGCACAATTGTGTCAAACATACTTTTCCACTGGTTTAGCTTGACAACTCATTTCAAGGGAGCTGTGTTATTGTTGGCCTATGGTGAAAGCGACACATCAAAGATGTCTTGAACAAGGTGATGCCGCTGATCTTAATAAGCCTGCAGCCTCTGCAGGCATGGGTATATGCGGACTTACAGCTTGACACCATTCTACAGAAAGAAAAATGGAGGATACATTCATTCCCTTCCTCACAATAGGCTTATGCTTTATAAGAAACAATTAGACCATTCTGTCCTGGATTCATGCATGCCAAGCTGGCTAAGGCTGTACAGTTGGTGAGGCATCCAGGCTGCTTGTGAAGAAATATAGAGGTGGTGTATGGTTACCTACATATTTTGGGTCTCGAAAATATTGCATCAGACCTCAAAACTTAGAAGTCGCCAACCAGCAGTTTGATGTATCAGTCTTAAGGTTTTGCATCTCGGATGTTGTGAACAAGCATAATAATTGTGGAATGAGGCTGAGGCTGCTTTTTAGCCTATGGTTGTCCATAATTAGCCTGTTTGCAGACAGGATCAATAAACTAAGCAATACTATAAATAAGATGTCTCATTTTAATACACATGCCAAAGAGAACATTACACTATTCGATTTCTGTACAGAAGCTATCTATGACATCTATGACACAAGTTACAATACAGCAGACAACTAGATGTCTTTCAAGAAGATGTGGGTGAGCTGCTTGTTTAAAATGCAGTAAAGGAACGATGATGAGATCTGGTCCACGAGCATTGAAGCAGATCTGTTTAATAGTAAAAATAAACAAATAGTCACAGATCACTCAATGTACACAATATTTAAAATGTTATTTTCCACTCACATGAAGACAGGAATAATAAGAAAAGTGGTGGCCATTTTCATCAGATACTTGTGAACAGAGTTACAATCCAGAGGAGAAAAAATCTGTTTTTGCAATAAAATAGATATAGTCATGTGGATGAGTCTGTCTTGCTCTTTTTTTTCTCACGCCTTTTTTCCCTCATAGTGATCACACTTTTATCAGGCATCCATCTACTGGAAGAAGACATTACTTGATGACCTGTTTTTGTCACGCAACGCTTTTGAGCGAGCTCTTCTCATCGGGTGGGGGTGGAGGTATAGGTGGTGGTGGGGTAAGACGATCCTATGTCACGAGTTTTTAGTGTCGTCACGCAACGCTCCACCCCACAAGCGTGACTACTCGGTCGCGGGCCAACATATCAAGCTCCACGAAGCCGTTGAACAACAACATTTTCTAGTCCTTTCGAGGAAGTCGATTACTCGAAGTTACCATATTTAAAAGCTAAAATCAGAGGGACATTATAAAAATCCAGACGTTCATTTTCACATGATGTATAATTCTCATCAATCAGTTATCATGGCCGTATCTATGGACACTTTGGCGATTTGCATTTGCTTGTTGCCACTTCTTTCCTTCCTGTCGTGTGCCGTCATTGCTGTTATCTGGCATTTCGATTCAACAACACGGACCCACTGCAAGGTAAGTTTAAAGCTTTACAGTTCATATTTCTTTCACTAACATGTATGCTTTATACAGAGTGGACTTCGTATCGAACGTAAAATATGCAAGTGTAAGCTTTTTGCAACTAACTCAAGCCCTCAATTTCGATAGTTAAGCTTATAGCACAAAGATTAATTGAAGTTTTTTTTTTTAGTATCGTTGCATTTTTTCTTCCAAAAGCAAACAGTCCGTCTTAATTTTACAGGAAAAGGGGCCTTATGGTATAACTTTTCGATTGTTAATCAATTGAAACTAATTCTTGTCATTTTACGTAAGTTTATTATGGAAATTGCAACAATTTCAGTTTCCTATAAAATTTCTCCTTCCATCACTTCCTTGTTGATTTTCCTTACATCTATGTGATTTAATTTTTTCCTTGGTTTGGTTTGAATTTTAATTTCCATTGCTTCAAACTTAAGTCTTACATACATTTACCATGCAGAAAATATTAATATAGGGAAATAAAATTTAAACCAGGATAAAATTAAACCACAACATATGCCAGTGTTATTAATACATGTAAATACATGTGTGCAAATAATCAATATATTATGGCTTAAAATGACTGATTATAAAAATATGTTGTAGGTTTCAAACTATTTACCATCAATAAGTGCTGCAATCGGAGGACATATGCCTGAGAAGTATATTTGGAGAGTGGGAATAGCTCTACATTGTCTTCCACGAATTCTTGTCATGCCTTATTCACTTCACAAATATTTTAAGAATACCTTAGCTGGCAGAAAGTATGATTCAACGACCTGGTGGTTTTGGTTACTTAATCTTTCAGCTGCTGTTTCAAATTTGGTGGAAAATGGAGCTCTGATAACTTTAACCTATGTTTCTTCCATTGAACACTTTGGTAAGGAGTAAAACCTATCAGTTTTGTTTGTCATTTGTGTCGCGATTGACTGAAACTTAGATATTGCAATGTTTCGACCACATAAAACTGCAAGTCTTCACCAGGTGATTACTGTCAATTGACTGAGTTAATAAGGACTAATTTTTTATTTTGTACCATATTGATCACCTGGGCTGTCACCCAACCCTACCCCCCAACGTCATCAAATATTGAGAATTGATAGGGAAGAATGATAGATGACATCATATCACATGACAAATTAATGATGTCATTTGTGCCAAAAGTGCTCGTTGATTCCGATTGACGTATATAGCACATAAACAGTTCATATTTAGCCACATTATTGCTTAAATTACAGTGGCATACCAGAATTTATGGGGGAACGTTCCCGCAATAGCTCAAACAACGCAAAATATTTGAAATTTCATGGTCGGAAAGTTGAGTGTAAAAAAAAAATAGCAATTTTGCCAACTGGCGATTTTTCAGGAGAAATTGTGAGACTCTAATCTGGAGACTGGGAGATCTCCTGGAGTCTCCCGGATTATCCGGGAGAGTTGACAGCACCGCATGGTTGTTAGTGATTAATGTATCATAACAATGAGTAAAACCAATTTTGGAAAACTGGGTATAGTAAAGTAAAACCAGCATGAAAAACTGGGCGTATTAATATAATGCAGGTTGCAGGTCAGAATTTCATGTTAGACAAGGTCATGTCAGGGCCAAAAGTGTCGTGCAAGATCAAGAAGTAGGCCAAAACCCATGCAGCTCTTCCAGGCCTTCTTAAATCCCAGACCCCCCTTCAGCTTCTGAAGTAAGAAAAAAAGGACTTACTTGAAAGACTGGTGCAGACGAAGGATGGGGGTCCTCCTGCAATAAGGGACATTCTTATGATGTCTTTGATATCTTTTGGTGTCATGGCGCATCACATAAGGTTCACTTGAAAACTGGAAATTTTATTTAGGGCTAGAAGTGGTTAAACCAGCATTCCCAAGTTTTTTTGAGCCATGGAAAAAGGCCCAAACCGTTCCAGAGCCCTGGAGTCGTTAGAGGAGCTCAACCTTGTTCCCAGGGTTCTCTCCTACCCGCTCTCCTACACGCCCTCCGTAGGGCGGGTAGGAGAGAACCCTAGGATATACCTGCCAACTCTCACGCCTTAGGCGTGAGTCTCACGCCTGTGGGTTGAAAACTTCAATTTCACGCCGGCTCACGCTTGCGGGCCAATTTCTCACGCCTGATTGAAAAATGTGAGTTGCTGCCGTCTTGCTTGACACAATTTCCAAAAATATGTTAACTCAGACCCATGTAAGGAACGAAAACCAAGTGTAAAATGAATAAATGACAATACCTTCCTCGCGATCTCTGATTTTTGAAGTGAAAAGCACTGGGAGCGATCTCGCGTTTTATACGCTGGCCCAAGACTGATTCAATAACCGCCTTGACGAGACTTTGGACGCCTTCGAAAACTGACGCCTTCGAAGTCTTCGGACTTCTTTGGAAATGATCGTGTCGTATTCAAAAATCCCAGCACTCCCAGGATAAAAATCTCATGCTTATATCTCAGAAAAAGTTGGCAGGTATACCCTAGGAACGAGGTTGAGAGGAGCTATTTCTGCCATGCACTTCCAATACAAATTATGTAAATTTATTCTTGTGTGGCAAGTAATTTAATTCAATACTGGTGTGACATTGTGTAACATAATATGAAATTCTGACCTGTGGCATGACCCTGCAATTTACATCTTCTACTGAAAAACTTCAATGACCTGCATATAATTATTAGTATGAAGCTTTTGCTTATTAACGTGCAAGTATGTAGTCATTAATACATGTGCCTTCTATCCTTGTTGCTTCCCAGATTAATCAAACCTGCCACTTTACCACCACCTTGCAGGCCAGCACTCAACTAACTGAACCTTATAACCATGCTGTCTTCTAATACCATTCACTAGTTCTAATAAAACATGTACTGTGTTTGTTTCAGGTGTTCATGAAGGATCATTTATAATATTTATGGTGTGCTCCATTTTATTTATGCTGTTGTGGTGTATTTTATTCAGGTTGACTGCTACCCAACCAATGACAATGGAGGTGTGTTAGATAAAAATTGTTAGTATAGGTGATTTATAAGGTGCAATTTCGTCACCTTTAGGAGTCCACTGATGGGCCATATTATAAACAATTATTGGATGAGGTTTTTGTGATATCTGGATTAATCAAGGTTGAGAAACAGCCGTAAGTGTTATCAGCCAAGGCTGACAACATTTACAGAGACCTTGATTATTCCAGTTATCGTAAAAACGTCCTCCAGTGATTGTTTTATTATACACTTTTATTTGTTTTGAAGAAAATAATGACAAACACATCGTCCCAATGAACGTGAATCAATGGCAGATTTAGGGGTGGGCCCAGGGGGGCCCTGGCCCCCCCGTTTTGTCCGGGAATTATTTTTTTTGTAAATACTTAGATTATTCATTTAAAAAGCAGCTCCAGTGGTCAGGAATGGTTTTAAAATTGTTAGTGCAACTATTAATAATAATACATAATAATAATAATAATAATAATAATGCATAATTATGGTGGTGGTGGTGGTGGTGGAACCTTGTTATATGTTCAATTAAACAAGGTTTCTTAATTATATTGATGAAGGTATTTTCCATACATTTTGCTCTTACTGGAGAGGAAAGTAACAATGTATTATACGAGTTCATTTTATCAAGGTTTCACTTATGAGTAATCTCCTTGGCAACTGCTTGGGCCAGAGGGAGAGGTAATTTTAATTATTAATTTATTTTTATTTTATTTTTCCTCCAACAGGAATACAGACTATTCAAGAGAAATCTATGCACACTATCCTTAAACGTTTGCTCATTTGGCTTTGCCGTCTATTTCTTCTTCAGACACAATTGGTACTGTGAACAAGGAAGTATCCTTTCCTATACTTTATGTAATTTCAACCAAACCTTGATCTGCTTTCTGGCTCTGGCACCCATAGATGAGAGAGATTGGTAGGTAGCAGGAAGACAGGGGTAGGTAGGAGGGATGCATGGAGGGACCGAGGTAGGGAGGTGGTTAGGCAGGGGTAGGTAGGTTGGTACACTGAAAATACCTAGGGGGTAGACTGTTTTCTTTTCCCTGTTTTCCCATAATATTACTATAATGATATGATTTTTGTGATTGAGCACATTAAAATGCCCACAATAAAATAAAAGGGTATAGAATGGTACCTGGAAAAATGCGAGTTTCAGAAAATTTTGGCCAGATCTCAAAATCTCGGAAGCAAAAACAATGCATGTCCTGCTGAAACATTATTGTGCCTGACTGAACAACTTTGATTGGTGTGGGGTGGGGGAAGGGTTCACTGTGGTGCCAAATCCTCAACATGGGTGTCCTGTGAGTAAGGAAGTGCGAAATTCATAACACTTTTTGTCCAAGATTGTAGCATTGGGGGGTGGTGGCAAGCTAGTATGAATGTACCTAGGTGGCATGTTACACATGTGGATAGTTAAGCATGTTAGGGAGTTAGTTGCATTCAAGGTAGTGCAAGGTGGGAAAAGGTGGGTAGGAGCCTCCGAGGATGGAGCAAACTATGGGAACCCTCAATTCTGGAATTATTTGGCCTTGACAGGTATGAGCCACTGAACAGTGTGTCAGGTTTTCACGTCCTGGGTCTTAAACAGGGTATACAATTTCACTAAACAATTACTATAAGAAAATTCTCAAATGTGACAGGCTATCAGCTGTCCTGATTTCAGCACTCAGGGGCGGATCTAGGGGGAGGGTGCAGGGGGTGCGCACCCCCCTGAGATGACCTGCGGATTTCTAATACAACTGGTATTCTGCAAAAAAAAAAACTATGTGGTTTATTGGTGTTGAAGTAGAGCAAGAGACGAGTGCACCCCCTTCTAAAAAATTCCTGGATCCGCCCCTGCACTAATAGGACAGTGTAATAGGACAGTACGTGTCATGCCTATAAAGTAATTTAACTTAACTGATTTAGTAACAGAACGGGAACGTCAGTTGACGACGGGGCACGCAAATCAAACAAATGCTTGACCAATGGCTGAGCGGTAAATTGGGCATCGGAAGTCGAGTTTAGTCCTTTCCACGCGCGCTTAGATGTTTTTTTTTTTTTTTTTTTTTTCACTGCTAACAAAAAAGGTTCTTGGAATTTCTTGTGTTTTGATTTCAAAAAGCCTAAAATATCACAAATTTTGTTATAGTTATAATACGCTATAAATTGGTAACAGAACTTCCTGTCGTCTAATTCGGTCTGTAGTCATACTCGAATTCGAATCCACTGAGTCCTATTACCATTATTCAACGTCTTGATCAGAGTGTCTTTTTGTACCGGAAGCGTTAAAACAGAGTCGGCCAGGCGGGGGCAGTGGTATACCGGTATACCCGAAAAAAATTCGCCAAAATACCCCAAAATACCCAAAATTCATCCAAATATAGCCAAAATTAATCGAAGCATGAAAGGCAGGTATACTTTATACCTGAAATTCAAAGAAAGTGATATACCCAATACCCGTATTTAAGCTGCAATATACCGTATATCCGATTTAAAAAGCCCCTGTATACCGTATACCCAAAAACCGTGGCCGACCCTGTTAAAAGGATTGTCAAGATTGGCAGTGCGCCGTCTACCAACAATGTATTTGCAAGAAAGTCTAATTCCATGATGTTAGCTTAAAAACACTGAGCTTCTTGTGCGAAGTGATGCAGGGTCGTAAAAGTATGTCTCCTGTCTTAATCAGGGTAACGATATGAAATCTTTGTCGTGAACAGGTCAACGTTTGAAGGGCTTGGCGACACAGTGTACCAAAACTTTCCTTGAATGCTCCCTGCTTGATTTTGGGGAACCTAAAACTTTCAGTTGTAAAACTCTACTTAAACTTGACTCTCTATCTCTTGACTTGCTCTAGTTAGTAGGTTCCATTTTTTGTCAATATTTTCCTTTACAAAATTTAATCTTCTGTCACTACAGTTTATACTCTCTTTGCTTTGTGTGAGTACATCACGGTGGTGTCAAACATAGCTTTTCACTGGCATTGTACGTGGATATTCTCAGGAGCAAAGCTTACTTTTGGTTACTTTGAAGGCCTTTTGCCGAAGAAGAACTGAGTACCCATAGTTATTTGGCTTACCTGTGTGCACTATTACACGATGTATGTTCTTTAGTATGGTGACGCGTGTGTGATGGGCTTATGGTATACGTCGCAGGTTTATGTCGCAGCGACGTGTCACGTCGGCCCAATCTTGTGCATTTCAGACACAGTGACATGTAGCAACGACAAAATCACGCATAGTCCACCAATAGGGACGTGTAGCAGCTGCAAAATCACGTGCAGTACACACACAGGGGCATGGATTAGGGACGTGAAGCGGAAACAAAGTCACATGCAGTGCACACAGAGACATGTAACAGCGACGTGTAGCATTCACGTGCAATACACACCCAGGAGACCAGGGACGTGAAGCAGCGACAAGCTTTCTGTTCGATTTCTTTGCGGGGAATAATCATCATCATCGTTGGCATCATTATCAACATCACCGTCATTAGCCCGTTCCAGGCTCTCAGATAGTGGGGAAGGCACGAAAGTGACGCAAAAAGGGGCGGGAGGTGGGGGGGAGGGGGGGGGGGCAGTTTCCTCCCGTTTTATTTTCATGTTCGCCCTTTCTCAATCCCCGCGGAGCCGACTATCTCGGAGCCTGGACCAGGCTACACCGTCATCGTCACATTATCATCATCATCATTTCTTTGTTTATTTGTTTGTTTTTTCTCACTCAGTTTGGTGGTGGATCCTACTGTTTGATAAATTTCGTAACCCAGCTCCTTTCATTATCTTTATTTGTATTTCACTGATAGCAAAAAAACTCTCTCAGTACGTACGTCTATATCATTCATACTTTCATTCCAATCGAAATCTAACAAACACAATACTTTCATAGTAGCGAAGGTGACCTTTCTCAAACACCATCCCTATAAATGTTTCGTTTGCCTGCATGCCAGGAACAATCGCGAGGCACGAGTAACCGCTTGCTCCCTTCCAAACTGTAAGTGCCCCATTCCACGATGCACCATTGTCTTTACTCCATCGCAAGGTCATATTCACACGAAACATCTTATTGGCTGGATTAGAGAAGTACACCGTGGTGCGCAAGCCCAGTAAACTTGCCGCTACAACTGGGTCTTCTAGAGTCTCGTCGACGTAGATATCCGCATGCGCAAAAGACTCTGCGCCATCATAACTCTTGGACATGATGCGGCAGTGGCAGTGAAAGTTTCCTTGGTTACGGGAGGTCATCAAAATAACGCCATTATTTAGCTCGATAAGCTGCGGGAGGAAAGTGATGCATCAGCAAATTGCAATTAAAAAGTAATAAATAAAAAGAAAATGATGTTTTCTATATTGAAAACTTGGTAGTAGTTTCTCTGTGTTGCGGATGGGTTCAAACAAACATAGCCTGCCAGGCAGGCGTTCTCTTCCGGGCGAATGTTTTTGCTCGCGAAAGCGTCATGTTGAAACTCATACATACATACATACATACATACATAGTTTATTTGGTAACGCAGGTTACAGAATACGTAAGACTGAAGTCCTGATGTGGACCTGCCTATCTACTTGTTAAAAAACTAAAGTATATACATGTGAATAAATAGAAAATCAACAGAAGTTAAAGAATAAATAATAATAACGATACAAATATAAATAAGATTAATAAAGAAATTCCTCATTCCTATTTCCTATCATGGAAGATTCCTTATTATAGCTTATAGAATTAATTAAGTCCTTGCTAGATCTAAGTCTTTTTTTAAAACATTCTAAGCTAGAAGACTTTTTGATCGAATCAGGAAGTGAGTTCCAAGCAATGGCAGCTCTATGCTTAAAAGTCAGCCTGCCAATTTCCGATTTAGGACTTGGAAATTCAATATTCATTGATTTCCTCAGGCAGTGAGATGATTGTTTTAACATTACTAGATCATTTAAAACATTGGTATTGCATCTATAGTAGGATTTATACGCTTCTACTAACAGTCTCTTAGTATAGTAAAATGATAAATTGTTTCAGCCTTTCAATTTATTTAATTGATCAGCATTCGAATTCCTTGAAAGTTTAAAAATAAGTTTAGAAGCTCGTATATGAGCACGCTCAAGATCATCCATTGGTGCAGGTGAGCAGGAACCCCATACTAATATTCCGTATAAGACACTTGGAAGTACAGTCCTAAAATAAATGGTCTGTAGAATGGATGATGGCAAGAATTTAATTCTTCTGAGGACTGCTATTTTCTTATTAAAAGATTTTAACAGACTTTTAGTGTGTTCTTGCCAAGAAAGATTACTGTCTATAGTTACCTTATTCTCCTTAATTTTCGCGGGTTCTTAAATTCGCGATTTTCGCGATTTTAAAAAATTCGCGAACTTAAAGACCCGCGAAAATAACGACGGCGAACTTTGATCTCGCGAAATTTAATGGACATAGAAAATCATGTATTTGTGTTTTCAAGGGTCCTAAACAATTTTTAACACAAGGTGTTAGTACAAGGAGCTATCATCTATCAACTTAAGATGTTAATTCTTAAAATTTTTAAAATTTTTCAAACTAAACTAGTGAGCAGCACTCTGCGAACTGTTGCTGTAAAACTTATTTGTTACTTATTTTAGCTAAAACCGTGGCCCCAAAGTTTTCTCACGCCTTGCGTGAAAATTTCACAGCTGCGCCTGTTCCTTTTCGTAAATCCGGCCAAACTTTCAATGTTTGCGACCATCATTATTTTTAGTCATATTATGGCTTAAATACAGGCGTTTAGTACTTGATTGTAAAACTCCCTGAAGAAGTCTACGATAGTTAGACGAAACGCGTAGGAGAATAAACAAGTTTTACAGCAACAGTTCGCAGAGTGCTGCTCACTAGTTTAGTTTTAAAAATTTTCAAAATTGTCATCTCGCTAAAGGGTGGGAAAAGGCTGGCATCGCCCAACTATTAGATGAATCGTTTAGTCTTCCCCCCGAGGATCCATTTGAAGAGATTGAAGGTTCTATTGAGATCTCCTAGGAAGGACATGTAACGATACTCTCGATACTCGATAATGACTCGGAAGAACAAGAAGACTTTTTTCATTACTGTAAGACGGACTTTTAGAGGAATACGGCTGCCGCTAAGGGACAGCATATTGGTTTTGTTTCAATTGTTGATTAACGTACAATTTTTGTAAAAAAGAAAAAATAAAGTCACTTAATCCTGTTAATCGTCAATTTCGCGAAATTAAATTCCCTGCAAACACAATTTTTCTCCGCGATCGCGAAATTAAAGACTCGCGAAATGTGCCGAGAAAATTTTCGCGAAATTTAAGTCCCGCAAAAATAAAGGAGAAGAAGGTACTCCTAGACATTTACATGATGATTTTAATTCAATAAATTTTTCACCATACTTCAAAGGCAACAATGGACCAATGAATCTTTGTTTAGATAATAATAAGGCTTCTGACTTAGTTTCATGAGCAATCAATCTGTTAGCACCACACCAACTAAGAACTTGGTCTAGTATAACTTGCATGGCCTTAATTATAGTATCAATATTATCACTTATGCAAATATGGTAGTATCATCAGCAAACATATAAAGTTCTCCCGAGGTTACAGATTCAGGAAAGTCTTTGACATAAAGGGAGAACAGTTTGGGTCCTAAGATTGACCCTTGTGGTACTCCAAACTTGATAGAGCTAGTGTCTGATTTCACTTCATTAACTTGAACAAATTGGTTACGATTTAACAGGTAGCTTCCCATCCAAGATAGTAAATTTCCTGATATACCAACAGCTTTCAACTTTTGTAATAGGATGGTATGGTTCACCGAGTCAAAGGCCTTCCTGAAGTCAATAAACAGAACACCAACTTTAAGATTATTATCTAGGGCCCACTTCCAAGTGTCAGTAAGATGAAGAAGGAGACCCTCTGTAGAATGATTCTTGCGAAAGCCCCATTGATTGTCCCTAAGCAGGTTCTGAGCTTCAATGTGATTGTCTATGCTGTTGCTTATAATGTCTTCAAGAATCTTTCCTGGGATACTTAAGAGAGATATGGGCCTGAAGTTGCTCATATCAGAGTTTCCAGTTTGTTGGAAAAACTGCATCATCTATACTGGCAGCAGGCTATGGATAGAAGATTCCCCAAGGAGTTTAAGGTCCTTGGGTGAGACTAGGTCCGGTCCAGTAGCTTTATTCGGGTTTGATGTTTTTTCAATTTTCTTCTTCACTAGCTCCCAATTTAACTCTATGTCGCATCTTGTAGGAGTGACTCTTGTTACATAAGAAGTTAAGGTGTTTGGATCAAGAGGTTCTAAATTCTTTGTAAGTTCTTCACTGATATTAACAAAGAACTCATTAAAGTAAGAAGCTTTTTCTAGATCACTGGTTAATACATCTTTACTGTCAGTTATTATGGGACCAATAGTACTATCCTTACTTTTCCTTAGAACCTTGTTGGTTAGTTTCCAAAATTGCTTAGGATCTTGAGAATTCATAAATTCCTGTTTCCAATAAGCAGCTTCCGATTGTTCTAACAACTTTTTTACTTCATTTCTCTTGGATTTATACAATTCCCATTTGACTTGATCTCGAGATGACTTGGCTTCCTTAAGTAACTTATAGCGAAGATTTATTTGCTTCCTTATGTAAGTAGAAATTCAGGGTAAAGATTTGGATCTTATTTTAACATTCCTAGTTGGGAGGTGATGGTTGACTATATCCTTATATAAATAATTAATAATTACAATAAGTACAAGTAAAAGAGTGCTAGGAGGAAACTGTAAAACTGTAAAACTGTAAGAACTGTAACACCACCTGTGATTCGTCAGGTTCAAATGAGCCGCGCTGGGTTATGTTTCCTGCAATCCTCCAGCTTTTACCGTGATCTGAAATGAAAATAGAGGTCTGTGGATTGTATAAAGATGAGGAGGACGCTACGATGAGAACCTTTTTTTTGCGCGCGCACGTAAGCCAGTGTCATTTTGGCGGGAAAACGCGATAGCCGTCGTCATTCTACTACGAGTTTTAGCGAGAATAGTCGTAGTGGCGGAAACAAGGTGTCAAATGCTAGAAGTTTTATGATTTTGAGATCGGGAGAGGGCTCAACCTTCTTCATTAACCCCAACCGTGCTAATTTTTCTGGTGAAAAAAAGTACTATGAAGCTTTCCGGGGTGTTGAGAATACGCAAAAAAAAACTTTAAATCTAGTCCTCGTCCTTAAAGGTCTCTACACATAATGTCACACCCAGGGCTGAGCGGCGTGGCCGGAACTGCCCCGTACGCATGCGCGGACCTGAAAAAATGTCCAAGATAAGTAAAAACCAATCTCGTACCTCGAGCCTTCATCCCTTACTGCGCATGCTGTTTCCCGACCGCTGATCAAGGGGAACGAAGACGCTGGGTAAGAGGGTGAGTAGAAACAAAAACAAAACAAGGGAAATGATCACACGGTAGCTGAAAAATGGCTCATGTAACTCTGATGAATAAACTTCTGTCAAATATGCAAAATGCAGTTTTAATACTGAATTCCAGCCGCGATTTGCCGTAACAGCTACCTGAAGCTAGGCTAAGGGTGGATTTCCACTGTCGCGTAACTTTTACGGCGGCGTACGCAAAGGGGTACCATTTCTGTCAAAAATGGTATATAAAAGGATGTGAAGCTGGACCTCTCGGTCGGAGCCTCGACCCTGTGTAAAACTTTTTTTAGTACCCACTGGAGAGAGCTTATTTAGACCCTGGATTGAACAATCCAACTTACCGTCACTAACAATGCAGTATACTCCATCATGTCCGGGCATGGTATGACCACATGTGATCAGTCGCCCTCTGTGGGGATCTTGCTTTTTCTAAATACAACATTCAAAACAGAATAAGGCGGAATAATCAATCTGTGACTGGCCGCAAACACAGCAATCACAAGGTGGCCTTTTAAAATGCTATATAACCCCCTTCCCCCCTTCCCATTTCCCATCTACGATTTTTACTCAAGTAAAAATTTAAAACATTAAAAAACTCACTTACTAACGTATACCGAATGATTAACTTACTGACAGTGATTCACAGACTGTCTGACTGACTAGCCTGGGACAAGGCTTCGCTGTGAGGAAAAATGGTACAAAACAGAGTACTGATTGACTGACTCACTCACTCACTAACGAAAATAGTGATTACAGTTTCTGAGGTAAATGTAACCACAATGAGAGCATTATTCTAATAACACCATACCTGAATGCCAAATCCCGGACCTGGAAGAAATAGAGAAGTACCGATCTGCTCAGATAAGTTATATGGCTTGCTCCATGACAGACCAAAGTCATCACTGCTAATCAAAAATGTAGTATGATATACGCATTTGTGTGCACAGAAGGAATAAACGACAAACACACGATAAACCTCCTCATCCACAATCACTGTCCCAAGGTTCAATCCATCAGGGGTTTCACCATCATCTTCGAGAAAGGAAGCATTACTCCAAGTAATTCCTTGATCTTTAGATCGTCTTATGGCCAGAAATTTAGGTCCCGAATCTCCAGAACTGTGCTTTCTTCCTTCTGCTAATGCTATGAGGGATCCATCAGGGAGAGAAGTGATTATAGGGATACGATAAGTGTTGACGCCTAAATCACCTGAAAACGCAAATGTTAATGGTTACGTCGAAATGACATATATTCTGCTATTTTTAATGCACTTCCTTTTGCAAACAGGAGAGGTGTAGATCGCCGGCCGTAAAATTCACCTCGGACTCGACACTCAAACCAAAACAAAAGTGCGTAGGCATCAAAAAGAGGTGGTCCCAGATAAAAGATATTTTTACACAATATTTCACCCCAGACTGATTTCACCCGTCAACATTTATGCCGGCCATAAGCGAATGGTTCTTAACATCGATCATGCAACATTACTGGCTAAATAAATAGATAAATGAATAAACAATGATAAATTTTAAAAAAGGGCAAATGAACGTTTATACGACTTGATTAAAGGGAAGACATTTGTCAACATTTAAAAAGAGCAGTTTCAATAGACTGACAAGTGACCCCCGGGGGTACTGCCATATATGGACTATATAGGTATGTGCCGCTGTGAAGGGTATGGTTTTCAAGCAGTTTACTCTAGGATAGGGTATATAAATCAGAGCGTTTGGGTCTAGAATAGGGTATCATTTTTCAGGAAACTGATCAGTTGGTTGAAGATTTTATCTACACTAGGTAAACAGCTACTCTAAGATAGGGGGGATTTGGGGAGTTTACTCTAGTATAGGGTAGCAAAATTCAGCTGAACTAGCTCTAGTATAGGTTAAGGGTTCCAGGGTCCGAGCGGCACATCCCCACCCAGAAATTCCTAAAGTACCCCCCCCCCCCCGGGCAAGTGACTCAAGTTGCGATTATGTATTTTTTATTCGTACAGAAACACGAATTATTCACTTATGTTGAAAAACCTAATCTGCAATACTTTTTGGTCAATTAACGAATATTTCACCGTATGTGTTTCAGTTTGGCGTGATTCAGGATATATTCTCCCCAAAATGAAATCAACGACCTTTACTGACTGAAAATACCGTTACCCACCCTTTATGCCGATTTGAGCTACTAAAAAGTTCTCAAAGAAAAAAAAATTTCCCTAGTTTTACCTTGCTTCCATAAGGTTACTTCGTGGTCAATTGTAGGGTTTGAAATGCTTGGGAGAATTCCCACTGAAACGAAAAGGACAAACCCCAAAAGGCTTGACACGGAAGTCGTGGTCGCCATCATTCCATTTCCGGTTCTGCGCCTTGCCTCGTTTTCAGTATGTGGATAAAACACTTTCCATGGCCCCCTTAGGGAGGGAAATTTTAAATGTGGATGTTATTATGTTTCTCTCACAAAAGAAATGACGAAAAAATATATAGTAGGTAAAAAGAAAGTCAAATATTTAATTAAAAACATATCTGAGTCAAGCACAGATAGGGAAACGATATGCAAAATAATGTAACTAGCTTACTCTCTATACCCTACTTAGGTTAGAATTTAGACAACTTCATGAAATCACTGCTGACCAGTTGCTGACCACGATTTTTATTTATAGACGGTGACTGTCGTTCAGATTTTTATCGAATCAGTTTTAGAAATGAAAATTAATTTAGTTTGTGGTTATCTCATTGGAATGGTAGTTGCTGCGATGTGACTGCCTGATTGTTTATCGAGCCGCTAATGGAAATCATGGGAGTAAATCTTTCAACGGAACCAGATTGGCATTGTGAGAAATGCACGTTGATAAACCCTGGAAAGAATGGCACCTGTCAGGCTTGTGGTCTGCGAAAACAGACCACTGTCAGCTGGATCTGTAAAGCTTGTGCTTCTCGGAACCCCCAGGCTTTAGTTCTTTGTAATAACTGTGGATCGGAAAAGTGTATGGGATCTGCCGTCTTGGCGGACGTTAACACGTCTAATAGTAAACAATGGACTTGCTCACAGTGCACGTTAACAAATCCTTGGAGAAGCAATACATGTTCTGCTTGTGGACTTGTTGTGACTGATCGTGAGAAAGAGGTAACAAGTAAAGAATCTTCTTCGAATCGAAAGCTTTATCCTGACTTAAATTTAGAACTGTATCCTGAAATTGCTCAACAAAGTTCTGAGGTCCTGAAATGTCCTAACTGCCAAAGTCTTCTTTATGATAATGTTGGGTTGTGTTGTACTGTCTGTCATTCACCGTGTCCTGAAGAGGGTTTTAAGCCCAGACCATTCCCTGAATCTTCAAAGCCACGTGAGTCAAAAGAGCTGGACAATCAAAAGTGGAGTTGCCCTAGTTGTACCTTTGAAAACAAAGCTTCCAATTCAGTTTGCGAAGTCTGTAGAAGTAGGCGTGTAGTTGAACCTAAACCCAGTACTTCAGGGGAAATTACAGATTCATCAGGTACATAAAAAAACTCATGAAATTAAAAAGGGTCTGCAGTGGCTAATAGGGACAAACACTTCCCAGAATCCAAACACATCCCAGAATAAAAACAACACATCCCAGAATATTCTGGGAAGTGTTTTGGATTCTGGGAAGTGTTTTGTCCTTGTGAACCTCTGGCACTAACTACCTAACACCCCTGCCCCAACCATACAAATCATTAATGTCCTTAAAATTTTGCAATTTTGCTGTCAGCCATCTTGTTTCTCAAATCAGTCTCCCAAACTTGCAAGCTACATCTATGTTAAAAGTCAATTTTAAAAAAAAACTAAACAAGGAGGGGGTTTTTTTGTACGGGGGAATCATTTCCCATCTATCTCTCTACACAGTGGCCATTTCTGTATGACCACTAAGTATTGTCCCAACAGCACTGACCAATGTAAGAAGGTTAATAATGACTGTAAGTTGATATACTCCTCAACCAATCAGAGCACAGAAACCTTTAAAACCATTGGTGCAATTCTTGTGATAAAAAAATATGGAACAATTTATCAGGCACAAGCACTGGGAATTCTGGTTGGCCATGTCCATCATGTACCCTGGTCAATCCACCAATTACCAAAGTGTGTAGTGCATGCAACACAAACAAAGATGGAATGAGTGTCAGACAGAACTCCCCTTCTTCTTCTGGACCAGCCGCTAACCCTGCTAGAACTATGCAGCGTCAAAGGAGTATACCTGTGGAATCCCGAAGGAAGCGTGATGAAAAGCAAGCAAAAGAGCAGTGGATAGACATTGTCAAATACTGTAAAATCGTAAGTATGTAATTAGATTGTTGATAATTAATAGTAAATATAGTCAAAGGCCTTTTTACAGACACCTCATTATTACATTTTCTCTATATTCAACTGGCCTCCTTAGTGCAACCCTCCAAGTTAAAGTTTTTGCTTGGTCGCCATTTGGCGACCAATTCTTTTGGTTTAGGGAGACTTGTTTACAAATCAAAATTTTAGGCACCATGGCAACTAAAATGGTTGCAACTTGGGGAGTTCTAGTGTCCATGTTAATGGGGTTTGACTGGACAAATACAACTGTGCTACATAATTATTTTAATTTGTAATTACATTCCTTAAACGACCTTATTGTAGACTGTGATATTGCTACTACATTTTAATTCCCTTAAGATGTAAATTATACCACGTCATCAATATTATCAGATACAGTGGTTTATTTGATTTCAAAACAATCTTTAGTTATGAAAACCCTTGTATAATAGCAACCCTAACTAAAACTATTAAAAACTGAATCATTGGATATTGCAATTTAAGAGCTCTGATTGGCCTCTAGCCATCTTGATATATGAGCTATTATACGATGCTCTCCAAACAATGGTAACTGTACACTTTTGCACAAAATTAAAAACAAGCTGAAAAGCGGTTGTTTTTACAAATAAAGTTGGGAAGAATTTTCGATATTTTGTGGGCATTTTTAATAAAACAATTATTCTACTCGTGCTTATTGGATATGAGATGATTATAGCCAACTTGGTGCTATGCACCTTGTTGGCTATCTACCATCTCATATCTAAAGTGGACTCGTGAAATAACTGTTAATTAGTCGCATTGGTGTCTAATTCAGGCTAAAATGATGTTCACTCTCAGAGTAATATCCAATTTGTGGATGACTCCTTTCCACCTGCTGAAAAGTCCCTGTATCTTCAACCGCGATTCTCAGAACACCCCCGAGTTGCAAACTGGCTGCGTCCTCAACAAATTCAATCCTTTAGAGGTGGTGGTCGAAGGGTGTCTAGCATTCCTTTAGCTGTATTCCGCAACCCAAGACCTGATGACATCATGCAAGGTGTCCTGGGTGATTGTTGGTAAGTAGAAATTATAGTATTTAATGTGGCCGAATTGGCTGGAAACATTTGAATCCCACACGCCCTGCATGCACCCCAGGCGTTTGACTCTGCCATGTATGCTAAGCAGGGAATTTAATGGTGGAGCTCCACGTGTGTGCAAAGCATGCGCAAGTAGAGCCCCATAACTAAAAAAATTTGGTTATCGATTCATCGAAGAAATTTTAGCAGTCAAAGCTATAGTCAGCTTTTAATATAGTAAATGATTACATCTTGTTTGCTTCTGGCAACATTTTGCACTTTATAATAGGCCACTTCCGAGTCCCTAAAACCCTCATTTTCAAAAACGAGGCCAAGTGCACAACCTTTTTTGTGAAAAAGAGTTTTATTTGCATGAAAATGAAAAATCATATCCATATCCAAAAGCCGAGCATTCAAGCTCGTTTTGATACAGAGGCCCAGGAGAACTGAGAAATGGCCTGTTACAGTTGTCTTAGGCTGCTGGCTATTCCAAGGCCACTGTAGCTTGTTGGAATTTATCCTGATACTAAATAGGGTTTAAATAAGTATTCAGTTGTTTTCTAGTGGACAAGGATAACATCTTCATTTTGCCATTCTTTAGGTTTTTAAGTGCTTTAGCTGTTTTAGCTGAAAGACCTGAGCTCTTGGAGAAGATTGTTATAACAAGAGAGGTACACTAAACTGTTGCAATTGTTTCTTTCTTCTTACATACAATTCTTCACTTCCCATTAAAAATGAAGTAAAATCAATAAGTCTATTTTAATAACAATCTAGTCTCGAAACTAAGAGTACAAAATGACCGGGCCCTAGAGCACTTCCACCTGAATACTTACAGTTTGGGGTTTTTCTTTAGAGTTGTGTACTTACAAGCTAGAATCATCTTGTACATCATAATGAACAGTACCTCATGATTGTATTGCTTAGTAGCTTTCATTTGAACAATCACACCATAGGATTTCATCCATATACTCAAAAGGTAGAACCATCTTGTGTATTAATGTATAATAAATAGTGCCATAGGAAAGTACATGTAATACTCAATAGCTTTCACTCAAATGGTCACACTAAAGGGTTTCAACCACTGACTCAAACGTTAGAACTACATACTGAATAAACACTTACAGTACTGTGTGAAAGTACTGCTGAAGAGGTTTCATTTGAATGGTAACACCATAGGAGTTCATCCACGGACTCAAAAGTTAAAACTACGTACAAAACAAATAGTACCATGTGAAAGTACTGCTGAAGAGGTTTCATTTGAATGGTAACACCATAGGAGTTCATCCACAGACTCAAAAGTTAGAACTACGTACAAAACAAATAGTACCATGTGAAAGTACTGCTGAAGAGGTTTCATTTGAATGGTCACACCTTAGGATTTCATGCACAGACTCGAAATTTAGAACTACATACTGAATAAATAGTACCATGGGCTCAAAAGTTAGAATCACCCTGTACAATTTAATGAACAGAACTACAGGAAAGTGCTCCTCATTGGTTTTTCATTTGAATGGTCAATTTCATTAGAAAGGCACATGATTGCGTCAAAGGCTGTCATTTTACCTATTTAAACTGTGGTTTCTCTTTAGATAAATAATGAGGGAGCTTACCAAGTGCGACTTTGTAAAGATGGCAAGTGGACCGTAATCTTGGTTGATGATCTGATACCATGTGATCGCCATGGACGACCAGTTTATTCACAGGTGGAGTTAATTTTACTTTGTAATGAAGACCCTAAGATTTTAATGTCTTATCTGGACAGATTTGTAAAGATTGGAAAATTATTTTCCTTGCACTAAAATTGTATTCCTTTAGAAACAGTTAAGCTACTGGTTAGATTCCATTACGATTTTTCGCGGAGCTGAAAATAACAGTCGATCGGTCATTGGACAATACAATACGGACTTTAAGATCCGATGACCATGACGACGGCGAAAACGTCGCCAAAAAGTGAATTCGCGTTATTTTAATCTTGATGGTGATGACTATTTCAACTCCCTCACAGTTATACTTTGTCAAATGTAGGCGAACTCTCCTGGAGTTATTGAATTCCTAAGAACCCATACCCAAGTTCAGAATGAGGAAGAAAATTTTGTGGTCGCTTGTTTACGTCCTCTATCGAACATGAAATTGGGCATTTTTCGTCGTAGACGTGCAGTGACGGCAAAGAAATGTAAAAAAAAAGCGTGTTGTTGTTATCTTGATATACCAACTAGATGAGTTTTATTCCTGTACCTGTTTCACTTTTAGGACAAAGCTCTCTACCTTTTTTATAGTATCTGAAAACAACCTTTTTATATCTAAAGCATACCTAATTTCTCCACAGCACAACCATACACAAGGTCGTTATGCCTCGGTCCGTTTTTTCTCTTTTCTTTTTTTTTCTCAACATAAAGCTAACTGTTACACAATTGTTGGTGTTGTCGTTTGGTTCTTGTAGGCTCGTCGGCAGCAGTTATGGGTTCCCTTAATTGAGAAAGCCATGGCCAAGCTTCATGGTTGCTACCAGGCACTCACAGCTGGCCGGTGCATTGAAGGCTTAGCCACATTGACCGGGGCTCCTTGTGAAAGTTTTATGCTTCATCGTAAGTACATTTTGTTGATATTCAAACTGCGAAATGCTGAAAGGTCATTGGCTGAATGAAGTGCAGTATAAGCCACAACGAACTATTTTCGTTTGTTGATTACTCCCTCCCCCCTATTAGTCAACATTTTGTGAACTTTTAAAGTAAATTTATGTGTACATTAGTTATATTGTAGTTGCGTTATCCTTCCTCTGAGAGCTTCGTTCGATTCATGTCATGCTTTTAATGCTGCTACTACTGCTGTGGATGTATTGTCGTTTGTTAATACTTAACATCGTACTGTATACGCTTCGCGTACTGTTTAGATTTCTCGTTCATTTGAGAGCCACTGCTTATTGCGTTTTTTTGTTGTTGTTGTTTGTCGGTAAATCACTCTCATTTATCAATTGAAGAGATCATTTTTCAACTTTAAACGACAAGCATTGTTAGCCTGAGAAAATAGCCGACATTTCCCGACACCATCACTGGTTTCCCCGAGAAATGATGTCAGAGGAACGAGCACAGAATTTCCATACTGATGACGCGCCACTAACCAGGTCTGAGTAGTGTTTCTGATTAGTTGAAAATTTGCATTATCCAATCACAAGCACCACGCAGACCAGGGGAGTGACTTATCATCAGTATGGAATTTCTGCGCTCGTTTTCGACCTCAGACGTCATGTTGTGGGGAAACGAGAGGTAGTGTTGCGAAACGACAGCTGCTTTCTCAGGCAAGCACTTCGTGATTATTGTGAACTTTGTTTCTCCCACAGAGCCTCCAAACCCAACAAGCGATACAGAGCCTATTGACAAGGACATGATTTGGGCCCAGCTTCTAAGCTGCAGGAGTGCTGGGTTGGTTAAGTTTTTGCTTTCATTAGCCGGCTTTAGTAATATCAAACGATTGCTTGCTTGATGCACTGATTTGTTTTTCCCTCTTGACTCTATTTATATGGTGAGATCTTGGCATAGCGTCTTGTGAAGCCTTAGACTACAAGTAGTCCCCCATTTTTCCTCAGGGATAGTAGAGCGAGCGAAACGCGAGCGCGCATGAAAATCACCCCACGCGAGAAAAGGCGACACGCCGCGTGTAACCTGGGAGCAAGCTCTCAATTTAAGGGAGTTGCGAGAAGTCACGCGTGGGCGGCACGCGCAAGGAGACGCGTGAACGACTAGTGGGATAAAAAGAGAGCGTTGTCGGTTTCCTGCGATTCTCCTGGCCTCGCTGCTAGCGCGTTCGCCCGCCACTCGAAATGTAGAGCTTGCTCGTAGGATACGCTCTTGAACTATGGTTGTAAAACTTTCGTCTCTTTTTATCGAGTGTAAATGTGGTCTCGTGTTTAACACTTGCAGCTTTTTGATGGGAGCATCATGTGGAGGAGACACGCAGCCACAGGAGGAACCCGTCTTTGCTTCAGTTGGCCTTCAAACACATCACGCATACTCAGTACTTGACGTAAAGGACGTCCACGGTATCAGGTGAACAGATCAACCAACTTTAACCCATTGATCTGGTGTTTCGCACTTGCCTATATTGTCTTAAGTAATGGTAAAATTCATGCAAAAGATAACTTGACAGTATTCCTGCTCCCTTGTCCTTCTCAAGATTTGTTAGGTTGGATGCTTTTCTTGAAATTTCGCACGAGCTTTAGTTTCCTGTAAATCATGCTCGTCCCCAAAGTCGCGAAACTTTTGGCCAGCGCCACTCTGAATCCCTGGCCATCGCGGCCCCAAGGATGAGAAAATGTCTGATCGTTTCACTGGATCGGATTGCACTTCATTGTTGTAATTGATGATAATTATTCAGGAGAGGCTCCAGAGATATGTCACTATGACTTCGTAACAACACCCTACACTCCCGGAAGCGCTTCTGATGTAATAATAAAGTGATGAATTTATCAATTTTTCATAGACTTGTCCGTCTTCGTAATCCATGGGGCCGGTTTTCCTGGACTGGAGACTGGTCTGACGCGTCCCCCCTGTGGACCCCTGAGCTGAGGTTCGAACTCATGGCCCATGGGTCTGAAGAGGGCGTCTTCTGGATGTCCCTTGAGGACTTCATGAAGTAAGTATGGGCACATGCGCTTAAAACTCCGGCCCTGAACAGTTCTCTAACGGCGCCAGCCTAGAATGCCAGCCAGGGCATGACAGTGCCGCGCCCCCCACAAAATAAATAAATAACGTAACCAACGAACGAATCCACGAAAGAATGAACAAATGCCAAATAATAATACTAATAAGACTAATAAAAGTTGCCACGAATCTCCCAGTAGCTCAGTTGTTAGAGCACCGGCTAAAATTTTGTTAACGTTCGATGATAGTTTGAGACACTTGAAATTTTTTGCATTGTTATCAAGGAGAAAACGAAGTGGACAAATTAGAATCGTACCCAAGCCATTTGGCTTATTGATATTTCTCTCCAACATCTCCGTAAGGGCGCTTTGTTCATACTATGCCAGATAGCGTTTTGTGCCGACGCGAAAGCTATTCTGCATAGTGTGAACACCTATCCGATATGTGACTCTCCACTTAAGTGATCAGCGCAGCGCAGCATCGTTCCGTAGCCTGCAGAGCAGGCGTTTTTTAACGAAAACTCGGAGGTACATTGATCGTGGCCGCCATCTTGAAAAGCAGCGAAAAAGACTAAGGAGGAGGGGCGGTGTTTTAAACCCATGATGTGACCTCTCCCTTAAAAACTCTTTTTGACTCGTCCCAACTCTCTGGTAGTATTAACGTCCAAGATGGCGGGACAACGTCATTCCTGAAAACAATTCATGGATCCCGCCCCAAAATACGCCTGCTTTGCAGGCTATCGTTCCGTTACAGAAATCGCGCCGATTCTTTTGTGTGAACAGCAGTCTTATCCGGTCATGGTTTTCCGAAGATTTTTCAAATTGCCGACGCAATAACATTTATCCGATATTTAGGGATGAAGACAAATTGCCGAACTTTCGCCGAAGACCCGAAGATGTTCTCGATGATACACCAACGATCCATCAAACCTGAAATCCAATCTTCACATGTAACTTTTTTACGTGTCTTCAGATACCACTTTCGACAAAACACTGTGGATGTAATAAAGCCTATTAAACTTAAGATCCATTACAAATCTTATTTTCCCGACAGGAGTGTGGATGAGATCAGGGAAGGCTGGGCGGAGGCTCGAGCTAATGGCTGTTTCCCGGCTTTTGCCGGATCGCCAGCCAAGATTGTTCTAGTGAATGTGTTCGAAACAACAGAAGTAGACCTGTGTTTGTTCCAAGAGGGAGTCAGGTAAGAAGCGAGCATTGCGTGTATAACATACAAGCTTGTTGTCAGATTTGATCGCAATAAGCCTCAAATCTCAACGAACCAAAACAACGGATTTCTGTTTAGGGTGTCTTTTCTTTGCACAATACCAATGGCAATTTTGGATTATGTGATAATCTTTGAGCACTGTTTTTTCTTGACTTATTTTTTTGTTGTTGTTCTTTTAGATGTGTGTGTATGTCTTTTTATTAATGGGCAACGTTCATCAATTTCTTTAGGTTGTTTACGATCGACTGGTGTCTTACGATAGGTGGTTTACGATACCAACCAGCGTTAAATGAGGTCAAAAGAGATTCGAGTTCTTGAGCACTCGTTCTTTCACTTGCAAGCATGTATTTATTAAGCTTTTTTTTTCATTTATGCATTTATTTTCAGGGGAAAAGCAGAGGGCGCGAAATCTCTCCTTGATCTTTCAATCATCGTGTGTCGCACATCACCAGGCACTTCTAGTCCCAAGCCCCACTCACTGGTGTTTCACAGCAAGAGGCAAGTCAAGGCCAATGTCTCGTGCAACGCTATCCTAGAGGAAGGCTCCTATATGATAGGTATGTTACTGATTCCCCGTAAGGTAAATTCCGGCACTCCTGCCTTAAGGTGATGTTACATGGGACGATTCGCAACGATGATTTATAGCGCAACACAGCGTCACAGCATTGCAATGTTGCAACAATGTTGCAACCATGAAACAATGTCGCAACAATGTTGTAATGCTGTGTTGCGCTAAAAATCGTTGTTGCGAATCGTCTCGTGTAACATCACCTTTACTGACGGCCCTCTCGCTATTTCGGACACTCGACTCAGGGCTCGAAAAAAACTTGAATTCAATCTTGTTCTTTGGGCAAGTAGCTCTCACATTTTGTTTGCCCGGGGCCCCTTGTTTTCGTCTTATTTAATAATTTTAGGGACCTTAAGCAACGACCACGACCACGACGACAACAACGTCAAAAAACAATTGGTTTTATGAGCAAAACAACTGCTCTGCACGTGCATCACGCTTTTTAGTACATTTCTTAGACGTCCACTGCACGAGTACGACTTGAAACCTCCCAATGCGACGTTTTATGGAGGACGTGGTCATACTACAACAATTTTTCCCTTCTCTATTTGAACATGGATAAAGCCCTTAAGAATTCAACTCCAGGAAAAGTAGCCTACATTTGACGAATTGAGCGGTACCAAATAGTCGCGATAACGTTAAAAGGACTCAAATTCATTTTTTTAGTGATTGTTTCACTGCCGTCGTCGTCGTTGCTTAAGGTCTCTTTTGTTAGAAGATGACTTGCCTGTACAGGCCCTTGCTTTAAAGGTTACTTGCCCCCGCCGGCAAGAAACTGCCGCCTGGAGAGCGACGGTCTGCTGAGCGAGAGGTCGCCGGTTCAAACCCCGGCCGGACCAACACTCAGGGTCTTTAAAGGGACTGGTTCACGATAATGCGCATGCGCGCCGTTTGTGTCTTCAGAATAAATTTGTTGGGTCAACACTAAATTCGAAATCGCCATTACCGGTACAATCATTGAAAATCCTTCGTTTTATTCGGACATCCGTTGCTTTGGCTGGTCTAGTTATACTTCGGTAGTGGTGATTAACGTGTGGTTGTGTCGTTTGACTGGTTACGTTTTAAGAAGACGCAAAAAATAATGTTTTGATCATGGAGGCTGAGAAGAGCATCGTGGCCGTCCGGCAACAGGACGTTCTCAAGAGTCTCTGGAGATAGAGAAGCTTAGCCTATTGATCTGGTATAGTTCTAGGAGTAGTGTGTGGCATACGAAAAGAATACACGACACTTGGAAAGTGGCTAAAGGCATGAGTTCGTTCAACTTTGATTTGACTTTTGACTCCGACCTGTAGTTATACCGCAACAGGCCGCGCGATCTTCACCGATCTGGTACACTTGAAATGTTCCTTGTATCTTTGCTTTACGATCGTATATGTTTAAGAATTGATGTTTTTAAAATAAATTATTGCCTGAATATTCTGTTTATAATCTAGTTTCTTTATGTATACTACTCGATAACATTTGTTTTGCGGAACACTGACCCGATGCAACGCGAATGAATTTGTTCACTTGCTGATAAGCAATTGAAATTTATGCTCAATTAAGGATAATCTTTATACTCATACGGTGTGTGTTTTTGTCACCGGTCCGGCGCTATTTGTAGGTATTTCTGGGTTTATATAAGGCGAACTGAGAGAACAGTAATAAGATGTTTGTTTACAAATTTTGTTTGCCGGTGACTGTTTTGTTAGCGTGGGTACGACCTCGTAAAAATACACGTTGGTAAATGTTTGTTTCAAAGCAGGACAGGGCTGTAAATCTTATTCTTATCGGCTGCAACATATATCTGAGGAGTAGCAAAGAATAAAATTGAATTATGGGGATAAATAAAATCAAACCAAATGCCCGGAAATACTCTCGCGTCGCGAACAATTAATTTGAATTTTGTAAATTTACTTGCGTGCATCTAACTCGCTTCCGATTGGTTGAAAAACAATCAGCTACTGTCAGAACTCACACATGCGCATTATCGTGAACCAGTCCCTTTAAGAATAACTCAGAAGAAAGTGCTGCCTTTGTAATGACATCTGCAAATGGTTAGACTTTCTAGTCTTCTCGGATAAGCACGAAAAACCGTAGGTCCAGTCTCACAGCACTTTCACTGATCTGTTCATGTGGGACGTAAAAGAACCCACACCACTGTTCGAAAAGAGTAGGGGACGTAGACCCCGGTGGTGTGGCCAACCTTCATGGGTTGTGGGATTGGGTAGGGATGGCACCTCGCATGGGACCTATGAGTCCCGTTCGTACCCATTCCCCCTGGGCAGGTCTGTGTCCAGAAAAGCTGGTAAAATAAAAATATAAGAAATTCTACTACTCAAGGACTACTGGACGGAACTATTTCGATTGGCGCCGTAGTGAGAGGGCGCACTTTACACCAATGTGACCCATTTCAAGTCCAACACTTTCGACGCCAGTTCAACTAGGTTTTTGCCTGGTGCTCCGGTTCCCCCACCTCCATCCCCACATACACACTTGCGAAAAATAACCAACTGAACCGGAAAACATTAACACTTGCATAGTAGTTTTCTAGAACGACCAAGTGTTCAGCCGGTTAAGTTACATTTGCATTTGTTTATTGTTTTTGTTTAGTTTGTTCAGCATTCAATCACTGGCAACCCTTCGGGGCACGAAGAAGCGAAGTGGACGAAGAGCGTTTGCCAAACTACGTTCTGGCCGTTTACAGCTCTCGCGGCGTCTTGATCGATCCACTTCCCATGCCAGATTTCTGCTTGGCTGATACGCTCCTCTTATTGGCTACAACAAAGGGAAAGCGACATGAGGTGAATTTGATATTTTAAGGGACCCTACGATCCGATAACGACGACGTCCATGAAAACGTCACTTAAAAATAGAATCGGCATCCTTTCACTTCTTTTGCGATTTTCCCAAGTCGCCCAATTACTCAAAGAAAGGAATTTCGGTCAGAAATTAGAAAAGGGGCCGCGCCCGAGTTCACTGACGGAGAGAAAAAGATTTATCGCCTTACCGTCCCCGTTCTCAAGTAAACTTTTACAGAAATTTACTTTCACGAAAATTTACAGAAAAGCGTGATGCACGTGCAGAGTTGTTGTTTTGCTAATGAAACCTCATTACTTGTTTGTGTTCCTGTTGTCGTCTCCTTCGTAGTTTCGTAAGCTCCCCATCGACGTACTTATAGCATTGTTATTAGACTACGTTGGAAAATTGCTTGTTTTCGTGTACAAATGGGATATCTGCAATTCCCCACTCCAGAAACCGTAAGTATAAGGGGAATGGGTACAAGCGTTTGGTACAACGACTTCTGGTAACGTTTAGGTGTACAAGCTTTTACTTATGATTGGTTAATGGTTGCCTTGAATATCATCGACCAATCATCACTTTGTTTGCCCAATTGTGAACATTTTCTAAATCTTGATTTAGATGCAACTGAATTTTAAATATTGGGTCCGTTTTTGAGTGAATAGCGTTGATCGATTATATTGTGCATTGATCTGACGATTCTTTCAAAGACCTTGGCTTTCACCGAAATTGACGATAATTGTTTAAGTCGTCCCGATCGCCTTGTTTAAAAAGTCACCTTTTGATCCGGAAATATGCCTTGACTTATTGACTGAAAAATATCACGGATAGGAATGCAATGAGATCTGCACATTCCTGAATGAGCCTCTTGTCAAGGCCAGCTGCCTTTGACATTCAAAAGTGAGAGAACTTTATTTGTACTGGTCGGATGGAGCAAACCGTTTATCTGTGCCAGTGAGGTTTTTGATAACCATCACTATTTGAGAATTGATTCTGGACCGATAGTAGCTTATTAAATTGGTTCGAAAATTGATCATTTACTTTCAGTGTCACTGATTTTTTCCCAGATTTTCGCGAAGTAAGTTCATTGATAGTCTGCCAGGTCTTTTTAGAATCGCCCGTATGCTTGTTAAAACTATTTTGATAATAGGCTTGCTTGGCCTTTTCGCTATTTACTTTATTGCGTTGTTTTTTAAAAAGTGACCAGTCATTTGAATCATTCGACAATCTTTAGAATTCCCGATCAGATTCGTTTTTAAAATGTAATCCATGCTCCACGCATTGTCCTCATCTTAACAATAGATAGAAACGACCATTGATTTGATTGGGATCACCCAACAATCCATTCCGAAAATTTATTCGATTAAATTTTCGAAAGTTTCTGTAGGTTATAGCTTGTGCCCACCAGACATTCGCTTGTCCATACAAGCGATCCCAGAAATCACTGCACCTAAAACTTGTTCCCATTCTCACTAGGGTTTCTGAAGCGGGCAGTTGGACACCTATGTTATGTACCCGTCAATCATAGTTGCTCTTAAATGGGTTTTTTCGTTATCGTCATTGCTGTCTTTCCACAATTTATCATGAAAAGATATGTAGTTCTCTAGTGTTCATCACAGCAACAAATACGTTGGAGAATTGATGGACTTGAAAAATCGTCGTCTACTGTCGGTTCAACCTTGTGCACGGACATTTAGAGAAAAAAGCTCCATCTTAATGAGACCGATATCACATCCTCGACTGAAATGGGTAAAAAAAAAACAGTAACAGTTATAGTGTCTTAACCAGACATATCTAACAAACTCTTAACTGCGAAATATAGTCACGCCATGTCCATGGCTGTGCATGTGCGAACAAACTCCCATATGTAATATATATGTTGTAGTTAATTTTTCATGTCAGGTAATTTTTGTTTTTCTTTTGTTTGGGGGTATGAGAGTGTATGCTAATGAAGTTGAAACAAAGGAAAATATTACAAATAACCTGAGATAACAAATTACCTACAACATATACATGTATTTCTTCAAACGCCTGAAAACATATCATTTAAGAATTGTTTTTTACCTGCTTTCGTCTTTGGTACGTATGTTATGCAGTAACACAGACTCTCAATTTATAGGGAATTCCAGGAGTGACGTGTTATTACATGGCGCAGGGGATTGCGGGATTGATAGTTGTAGCGGAAAACCGCCGGCCGGATCACCACTTGCTTGTGGACTGTGACTGCTCTGAAAGTTTTAATGTCGTCTCATCCAGAGGAGTCTTAATGACAACTGACTGTGTTCCTCCTCTTCATAAGTAAGTTTATTACACATTGTACTAACTATCTGTGATCTCATTGGCTATGAGTCCACAGTACTTTTTAGAAGGCAGCTGGCAGATGACTGATTCAGTTGAATCGCCATTAAGCGGTCACCCTCGGGGTACCGGCAAGTGGCCGCTTTATGGAGGTTGGCCGCTCCATTGAGGTTCATCATAAACCTGGTCATAAATTAGCGTACAATCTTCAGCGGAAGCATCACTTGATTGTAAAGCAAATAAGCGAAGGAGGCAGCATTTCTGGTCCACAATCGGTCGTCACCTTCTTTCTCCGAGTATTTTTCTTCGTCATATTCTTGAAATAAAGCCAAAAGTAGTCTGTCAAGTGCTTGATGGCCGCTTAATAGAGGTGATAACAATGGGAGAACTCTTGTTAAGACGGCAAAAAAAGTGACCGCGGTCGCTTTATAGAGGTGAGGTGGCCGTTTAATAGGGGTATAATTTCCCATTGTTTCTATAATTATCTCGGGATTTCTGGCCGCTTGATTGAGGTTCAACTTTATTATTATTTTCAACGGTCTTAAGCACATTGTAAAACAACCCGCGTCAACTTCCGCTGGCAAGACCCCCCCCCCCGCCCCCGTCAGTAATAGGCCCATCTACCTGTAAACAAAAATTCATCCGGCTATAACCCCACCACCCCCATCCCCCCCCCGATTAAAAGTCCCCTCTAGCTTCAGCTTGTATTATGAATTCGATTTTGAAGACGTTTGACGACGTTTTGAAGCTTAAAAAAGCGCATAGATTCAAAAAGGCTTATCAGATTATTAGCACTGCTTATCAGATGTAGCTTATTTTGAAACGCTTTTTTAGCGCGGTTATAACCCCTCTCCTATTTATAAGCTTTCCTAAAACCCCTTACGAAATAGTTTAAGGCCAGGGCTTATAAGCAGAAGTTTACGGTATATATGGTTAACAACATTTTATTGCTCTTCAGGCAGGTACTTGTACTTTTGACTCAGCTAGAAGGCACGGAAGGGTTCGCTGTTTCACACAAACTCAGTTTTCGTATTCTGTCTGACAATGGTTTTGGGGCATACGGCGCTCATCATACTCCCCAACTGACATCTGAACTGTTTGGACTACACAGTGCAAGACCTTTATGACGATAGCCTACGGTACAGTGACTAGTAAAAGCTAAGACCCCTTTCCAATCTTATTCCTAGGGCGTATCCGGTCTTGTGAATCGTGATACCCGTCATCTCTGATCTCTGGGGTTTAAAAAAAGCCTTGTGACTTGTTTTTTCAGGGTGTGAACAGCTGTAAACAGTACGCTGGTTCAGCATGAACGCTAGTTCGTGTATGTGCCACTTTCATCGGCTTTTTGTATAAGCTGGCGATATATTAGTTAAGACGTGAAGGTTTAATTTTCTTTGGAACTGAAGATATTTTCCTGGGCAGATGAGCTTATTTAATCTCGTTAGTAATAAATTGTCTTTCACTATCACCCAGTAGTTATGCGAATAGACCGACTTACGACAGACAAGGTCGCCCGTTAGCCATAAGATGGCCTTACACCATACATCCTTCCTCGTCTATCAGCTCATCTGTCAAAGACTTTCTTGAGCACACTTGGTGGGGGGGGGGGGGGCTTTTTTCTGCTAAAAAAAGAAAGCATAATGGGGAGAGGAGCTCGTAGGAAAGATTAAGAAGGATGGTAAATAATATTGATAATAATAATAATAATAAATAGAGTGAAGTAAATGTTTTAAATTGTTTTTGTGTTTAGTGGCACAACCATTCCATGCGAACATTTTAAAACTTTTTTAGATTCTCATTGTACACAAAATAAATATGCGCTTTTTAAACTTTTAATTCTGAATAATCTTGAGTTGTATATTCCGTTTGGCTCCGGACAGAAAGCGTTCCTTATGAAAGGCAAGAGAATTTGTTTGCTGCTTTTTTTGCATCAACGTCCAACACTAGGCGCAAGTGTTTGACACTCTGAATACTCGTCGATACTTGACTTTCGGCAAATAATACCGTATTGGGCAGTGTTCAAGTACATTAAAAAATCAGTAAGTTCGTTTTGTCTTGTAGATAAACTGGAAGTCTTTATTTAGATGTGTATCAAGAACGGACATTTCAAAGTGAACACACACAAAATTTAAGCTTTTCAGTCGTTTTCGTTTATTTCTACTTCTTTTTCTACGTTGACACTAGTATAGTATGCCCAATATCCCTCTTAGTATACGACTGGCAACGTATAATTGGCTTTTTTTCAACACTCTTTGCAATACCGGCCCTTAACGAATGAAAATATTACCATGCGGGTTCGCTACGTTTTTGACATGAGACAAACCATTGCGTCCGCATGGGTCATGTGTGGGCCAGTTAGGGCTCTGTGTGGGGCTCTCCCAGTAATAGTAGGTCTTCAACCAGGTTGGACTCTTCGAGTTGTAAAGATGTGGACCGAAATTTTGCGCAGACTCTTTGGTCAGCACCCGAATTTCATCGGGTGCTGTGTTGTGACAGACAGAGGCGATGTTTTTTACAACGCGGCAACTAAGGGTCCCCGCTCTGTACTCCACCAAGCTTCCACTACCCTCAGCGCAAACAATCCAATGGTTGATGTTAGACTTGGCCATGAATTCATGACCAATTTGCTGCCACAAACTGAAGTCCATAGCACCCCATATAGTCTCACTCAAGGGCGTGGTTCTCGATTCCGGGATGTCTCCATTTGCAGGCCATGAAGGTCGTGGCGTTACTGCGTTACTTCCAGAATGAAAATTCCTGCATTCAATTATAGAGAAAGAAGATATTACCTGGTTATGTAGTGATAAAATTTACCTATAAAACATTGGCCTCATTCTTTATAAACGTTTATTCTCATTGTGAACTTCCAACTGGACCTCCATTATGTTTTAGATTTAGCGCAAATAGTTAAAAAGAACCTCGAACCTTGTACTTTCTGTTTCCGTTACTGACCAAACAACTTACTGATAATTCGTGAATCTGTAACTGTAAACTAGCGTCCAGCCTCCACCGTCTGTTTCTTGGTCGCAGTAGGCCTGGAAAGCATAGCCTCCATCTGGGTTTATCCAATACAACCCTGACCCACCCTGTGGGTTTTCTTGTTTGATTACTTTACACGACTTGCCAGGGTGATTTTTGTCTTCTCCCGTCCCTACTGGTGGTTTGGTGGTAGTGGGGAGTGGGGTTGTACTCGGCGGCTTGTTAGGTTTTTGTTTCCCTGAAAAAAAGAGAGATTTCAAATCGTGTTTACCCCGAACGGTAACCTGCGTAGCAGGCGCGTAATATGCGAAAAAGAACGGGGGGCGCCCGTTGCTTCCAAGCGCAGGCTAGCCAAACAGCAAACTTCAATTTGTGCCACGTCACAACGTTATCCGTTTATCTCCTAATTTGAGAAATTGTCTACTTGAATGTGACGTCTGCCGTAAACGCGATTCTAAAACTCCCCTCAAACTGCCTTTTTTTTCAACATAAGTGTCATTGAACAGAAACTTTTGAAAGTCATAATTTTTCTATTCTAGTTGTACCCCTTAATTTGCGATCAGAAGGCAAGCTTTGCTTAAAGCGTTTTTGCGTCGAGTGAGGAGGTTTTATGGATTGAACGTCTTTACGAGTTTGTTCGTGGCGTTTGCATGAATCTAAATGAGGTGACTACTTAAGGAAGGGCAAGTAAGTTATTTCTTTGTTGTTGTTCTTGTTGATGTTGTTTTCTTTTCAATCGACCTATGTAAGAGAATACCGATTCCGGAATCCGGAATCTTGGACATTGGAATCAGGAATACAGCACAAGGAATTCGGAATCCAAGTGGAAATCCACCATGTCTTTCGGAAGTAAAGGAAATGAAAAAGAGGTTCAGGCAAGAAAAACTGTTTTGTAAAAAAAGAAGAACCTCGGAGGCAATGGCTATCCCCACCCTACCCCGTACGCCGAAGGGTCAGGATAAAGTTACAAGGCCTCAATTGTCTAACAGACCAAAAAATGATCAAGTTAGAACTAAGTCTTAAATTATGTTTGCTTTAATTCTTATAATTTATACCCACTCACGTACTTGCAAAACTGCAATAGCGAGAATTTCCAATAGGGGCCTTTGGCAGCTGATAGACAAGGACTCTATCCGGGCATCTCTTCACTTTGATGGTAACTTTGTAAGCACAGCAGTTACCACCTTTCGAAAAACACACTTTTCTTGTACGGACCTTTCCTTTTATTTGAGGATGACGGCCTATCATAAAGCCAGGAACGCTGGTGCCACAATGTATTCCCGTTGGACATTCTTTCTCTTTCCTCTTTAGCCTGTGTGAAGAAGAATTTGAAAGATAGGCATGGTTTTGTTCTCGCGGGTGGTATGTATTTTTGATCACGCGAAAGAAGCGAAAAATGCAAAAAATGGATTCTTTAGCGCGTGATAACAATATAACAGAATTTATAATCGATTAAATGCATAATGTAGCAAGTAATCTAGCAAGGCAATAACGTTTTCCAAACAAGAAAGAGTTTTTTTTGGCAAATCTTTGATTGGAAATTATTATTATTATTAAACGAAACAATATATTCAGACATGTCGCAATGCCTTTGCGTTGGTCTTGTTCGGAAGATTAAGAGGAACATGGCCACCCGCTCTGGCATTTCTGCACACAGTAGGCTTGTACACTTTTCAGGTTTATGACCAAGAACATTCTCAGACGTGCGGAACCTATGTGGCCTAATAAGTTCCCGCCTGGTGAAAGGAAAGCCGTAGCGATACTCACGCTGATGTCACCTGTCGATATTAAAGACCCAACAATGAGAAGCGCATTGGTTCTTGAAACAAAAGATTCTGTTGTTTCACTCTTGACGAATTGCATAACTAAAACAATATTTGTAAACAGTGATGTCTCCAATTCTGCGGGTACCTGTTTGCCATTTTGTATCCTGCTTTGCCAGTGATTCGGTACCAGACTCCGGCCTCTAAATCGTCCCTGTCGCTCTTCCCAGTTTCCTTAGTGAACCTCAGTTCTCGGTCAGCGTCCGACAGTTCAATATACGAAGAACATGGATCCATGCCTAATATTAATGCACAAAGCCATAAGTACAGCAGGGTTGTTATGAATTTCCGGCAGACTGTTGTTAGATCATTCAATGTGTTGTTGCTCATATCGCAGTTCTTATTTGTGACGAGGGAGTGCCATTCCACACAATTTTCTAACTGGTGTACCTATACCGTTTTAACACCAGACTTAACCAAACGGGCCCGGTTCCTGGAAGGCCGATTAGCGCTAATCCAGGATTAAAATTTGTTCCGTTCTTGTTTTTTACCTTCCTGTGTATTGCTTAGAGTATCATTTTTTGTTATCATTACTTCATCTTGGAGTAAAGGCTCGACAGTATTTTGTAAGCTCGAGTTGCATGTTCTTAGACGGGAAAAAATTGCTTAAAATTTTGCCTAATCCTGGGTTAAACTTAACCTTCTTTCGAGGTACCAGGCCCCGGTCTCTAAAATAATATTTCCTTGAGTCTGGATATCTAAATTGCTGGAATTGCTATAACCCGGACCTGTATATGGTAAATTCCATCGATCGATAAACACTAACATGGCATTTTGTAAAAATTTTTGAGAATTACTGACCTCCAAGAATTGTTGGAGTGAACGAAATTAGGGCTATCATCACAAGGAACGTCATTGCTCAATGATCTCGGCAACTGGCCAGGTTGTTAAGTCTCTGTGAATGAAGATGCAAATTATTGTCAAAAAGGTAAAAGGGCTTGTGTTTCTCCTACCCAAAGCCGACCCAAAGGTCTTAAGTGCTGATGTGGCTGTAAATTTTTTAAAATTCTTTCGGCAATTGCTAAAAACCCTTAGAACTAGCCGAAATGTAAACAAAGCACAATAAAAGTGCAAATTGAAATGTCAAAAGAAGACCGGTAAAGCTAAAGTGGGCCTAGTTAAGTAAAGGTAAAAGAGATTGAATTCGCCGGGGCAGCGAATTTAAAAAAGCGCCCCCTGACACTAAATCAGTCCTTGACCAAGCGGGATTATTTTGCAAGTCGTCATAAATTATAGACAAAACGGATCTCCGTGTGAATAAAGACAAAGCATGGTTAACGGAGAATCAGTTAAGAAACATAATTAAAATATACAGTCATACCCCGCTTTACGGACACCCGCTTAATACGGAAACCTCATTATTACGGACAGTTTGCTTTGTCCCTGGGGAAAGAAAGCCCTTACTTTTTCTCTAAATTCAACCCGCTTAATACAGACACCTCGTCAATATGGACACTTTCCATGGCCCTCTCAATGCCCGTATTAACGGAGTTTGACTGTATAAAGTACGATGAAAACGATATAAAACAAGCGGCGAGGATCCGATCTTCTTCATGTCACCACTGGAAAAACTGGACCTTTTACAGAGATAATAAAATGTCGATAATTTGTAAATTTATAGACTTTTTATTAAGGTGCAAATCTTCCCCTCTTAGCTTAAAACAGCTCATTGATAAAACTGATCAAGACTAGAAAAGTGTCAACAGTCCGAATAAGGATCACATTTTTGTTGAGCGATTAGCCAAAATCATTTTTTAAAAAGTGACAATTAGCATCATCCACCTGCAAAGTATATTTTAAATTATGAATATAGGTGATGAGTATATTTGAACTTCAGTGAGCAGTTGCCGTTAAAACGTATATAACGGAGATATTTTTTTAAAGATTCACGTTTACGCCAATAGGCAAACTGAACTTGTACCGCGAGAGCAAGTTTTTCCCTTCGTTGTCGTTTACTGTTTATCACTTCTACCCAAAGATAAGTAGTTTTACGTCAGTTTTACCCATAAGAATTGTTCTGGACAGTTTTTATCTGCTTATTTTCTATTCAGAGAAATTCTCAACAGTTGTCTTTTGCCGTAATCGTTCACGTATACGGCAAACGTCAGATTCAAGTTGAGACTTTCTCAAAATAGCCATTGAGCAGATAAAAACAGCTCAGAAAATTCTTACGGATAAAATAGTGCGTGAAACTACTAATTTATGTGGAGAAATAACGAACAATGGGCGACAAGCAAAGGGGAAACTTGGTCATGTGGTACAAACTCGCGTTTGCCGTTTGACGTAAACGCGATGCTTAACCTCCCTAATCTCTGTAATGATAGAATAAAAGGATAAAAATACTTTATTGAAAACTGTGGCAAGGAAAAGGAAGCAATGAAAAAGGAACAGGGAAGAAGTATATGAATAATTTTGATTGAAAATTTGCACGTTCGTGTTAGAAAACTGTACAGCTGTACAAGTTGTGGATTGATGGAATTAACATGAACAGTGCCTCCTTTGTATGTCTAATTAAAATTATCATCGTCAAATCGGCTTACCAGTTGTAGGGTATATCTCAATCTCACTGATGATACTGATGCGCAGTGCTTCAGCTACCTCACCTCTCATTCAATAGCAAATGAATGTGGATTGAATACGCAGTTGCTCCAAACGATCTTCGATAAAAGCCTTCGCTGGTGGTTTCATAGCAATATAAAACATAAGATGGAAAAATTGTCCCCTCTGAGGGCTTATTGTTTGCTCTAAGTAGGGAGCAAAACAAATTAGATTTAATGACAAGTTCGTTTTAATCGTCGTTATTCCTGTTTAGTAATTATATTAAAAAGTGTTTGTTGCGTAGAATTGTTTCTAGAGCACCCTGTTTTAGGTAATTTTTATTACGACCATTGAATACACTGAAGTGCAACTTCTTGACTTCTCGATCAGACTATTTGCCTGCTTAGTCCTTTAAAAAGCGCATTTTATTTTATGAAGGACAAGCTTGGACAGAGTTTAAAATCGCAAACAATTAAACCAGCGTACAATGGAAAGTTGCCGATGTTTAACACAGTTTTTGCTTTCCGAAATCATCCATGTTGTCCCCCGTACCAGATACAATCAAGTCCATTTGTCCGCAAAGGACAGGGTCCAACTTCGTTCCCAGTGTCCCTTTTTTCCCCTTCCCCTGGAGCGTGGGAACGAGATTTGCGCTCCGTCTTTTCCATTACGTCACTAAATAACCCTACTTGTCCAAGGAACGATAAACATCGATTTTTTTTCCTAGCTTCATCCTTACCTTATCAAGACAATTAGTAAAATAGTCACCTTAAAATCAGGAACATGCTTAGGCCCGGTTCAGACGCCTCTCCACTCGTGTGTCGAATCTAACTGATGAATTAAGTACGGCAAAAGAGCTGCATCGGAATCAGTTTGGTATGGCAGTTTTAGTTTGGAGAGGCAAAAGCGTGAAGTTCGACAGAGTCTGTCGAACTTTAGTTAAACTTAACGTAAGCTCGACACACATACGGTGCGCCGTGTGAATCAGATGTCGCGCCAGTGTCGCTCCAAAGTCGAACTTATTCAATTAGGTTCGTCACATGAAAAGTACGGCGTCTGTACCAGGCCTTAGTTTATCAAATTCTCTCAACTAATTCCTCAGGGAACTGTTACAACTTTTAGAAAATTGGAAGGGGGATTTTAAGGCTTAAAGGGTTAAAGTTACAGGGTAAATTTATTTATTTAATTGTAAATAGGTGCAATTAATTTAAAGGGACTAAAGTTCCATTTAAAGTTGTTTAAATTCTCGCCTGCTTAAAATGCTCGAGGGTTTGCTTTGTTTATCTTGCACCAACAGATAATAAAAGATGGTGCAATGATGATGCAATGATGGCGCAGTATTTCCTTCCTGTGTCACGTAACTGTGCTTGATTTTTTGAGAATGGCGTCTGACTTTATTCCAAGACTTCTAAGAAAACAAATAGACAATTGTCTTTTGTTTATTGATCACAGAAATGGCTCCATAAAATGTTCAAATCTTTCCCGCGCTGAGACCACTCATTTAATGATGGTTAAAAGTGTTGTATCGACCATGTAAACTTGCAGTCGATTTGCTTGGGATTCCCTTATGTTTGTTTTTGTTTGAACTATAGAGCGTTTTCACTTGACGTCACTTCGGTTATATGAGGGTGTGAATGGGGTTAACCGACTAGCGACAAAGGGCGAAAAATATTACTGACTACCGACAAAATGAGTAAAAAATTACCGACTACCGACAGGAAAAATATTAACCGACTACCGGCATGGGCTGATATTATCAATATTTGTTTCCAGAAAAAAGAGCATTTTGTATTTTGTACCGTTAATCTAACCGTTTAGCTCATCAGATGGTCTAAGGAAAGTAACCTAAATTTAAAATTTAAATTTGTGACTCATCAGATGGTCTAAGGGAAAACTCCTTACAGAATTTTTCTTTTTTTAACTCCAAAAAGTTGTTGATACAGGTACATTGCTTTTGAGGAGCCAATATCAAAAAATCACAGTCACAAATTAAAGATGCTACCGACTTTATAAATTTTATTTTCAAAAAATCAAAATTCGGTTAAAAAAACCGAACGTTTTTTACCTAAAATTTTTTGACTCCATAGATTAATCCTTAAAGAAAATTCTTTTTGCTTAGATTAATCCTTAAAGAAAATTTTAATGTAAACAACTATCAGTACAAACCGACGTTACCGCGATGAGCACAAAGACAGCAGTTTCCTTTCCAACATTTTCATGGCACATATTGAAACACAAAGTTTAAGCAAAACCGTCTTTAAACCAACTGTTTGAAAACGCTACATAAATGACATTTTTTCCCTATGGGACATAAGTAAACCAGACATCGTAGCTTTCTTCGCGGAACAAGTAAACTTATATACCCTCCTATGAAATTCACGGCCGAAAGATCTGAAAATGAGACATTCTTTTTAGAAACGGTTGTATACCAAGGTACAACATTCAGCGAAAAAATGAGAAAAAGCTATCCTTGACGTAAAGACGCATTTGAAACGGAAACCTTACAGTATATACATTTTCACCTCTTATCACCAACCCAATTGTTAAAGCGCCTGTTTGACAAACGAGAAGCCTGAGAATCCTACGAACAAACTCCTCTGAGGAAGTATTTCAGATTTCAAAAGCGCTTAATGGACAGAAGCTAGCCACACAATTTTGAAAGAAAAATTGCTATTAGAAGTAAAACTCACGAAAGGAAGGCAGCGCTCCTGAAAAAAGACAACCAGGAAGAAAAA